CTGTTATCACTTCCCTTCTCGAATTCCTTTGCGTCATAGCGTTTTTGGAATGCCAAAGCACAGGGCGGGTAAACGGACGGTCGATCTGAAATTTTTTTTTCGGGGCTCAAAAAAAGGCAGTGAATAACCTTCCAAGATTGGGCTACTAGTTCAAAAGTTACAGCCCTTTGAATTTTCTTTCGAAATTGGTTTCTAGTCTATAACTTTTGATTGAGAAGTCTGATCGAAAAAGTACGGATTGTTTTGGATTCTACGCACCAAAATTAATAAGAAAAAGTGTTTTCCCGAGAAATTTGGGTGCAGTCGATTTTTGGAAAAAAAGGAAGGTTACACGCTGCCTTTTTTTGAGGCTCCAAGAAAAAATTGTCTCAGATCGACTGGACTGGAAAAAACATTTTCTTATAAGAATATGGCCTGTAGATTCCATAATTTCAAACAGTTCCAAGATTGGACTACTAGATCAAAAGTTACAGCCCTTTTTTTTTAATTTTCTTTCGAAATTGGTTTTTAGTCCATAACTTTTGATTGAGAAGTCTAATCCAAAAAGTACGAATCGTTTTGAATTCTAAGCACCAAAATTAATAAGAAAAAGTGTTTTCCCGAGAAATTTGGGTGTAGTCGATTTTTGGAAAAAAAAGGAAGGTTAAACACTGCCTTTTTTGAGGCTCTAAGAAAAAATTGTCTCAGATCGACCGGAAAAAAACATTTTCTTATAAGAATATGGCCTGTAGATTCCATAATTTCAAACAGTTCCAAGATTGGGCTACTAGATCAAAAGTTACAGCCCTTTTTTTTTTATTTTCTTTCGAAATTGGTTTTTAGTCCATAACTTTTGATTGAGAAGTCTGATCCAAAAAGTACGAATCGTTTTGGATTCTACGCACCAAAATTAATAAGAAAAAGTGTTTTCCCGAGAAATTTGAGTGTAGTCGATTTTTGGATAAAAAGGAAGGTTAAACACTGCCTTTCTTTCGAAATTGGTTTCCAGTCTATAAGTTTTGATTGAGAAGTCTGAATAAATGGCAGTTCAAAATGTACGTAGTCTTGCAAGATCGTGTAGAGCAATTGTAGTTTAAAGGCCCGGTAAAGGCAGTGTATAAGCTTCCTTTTTTGCCAAAAATCGACTACACCAAAATTTCGTACTTTTTCGATTAGACGTCTCAATCAAAAGTTATGGGCAAAAAACCAATTTCGACAAATAATTCAAAGGGCTGTAACTTTTGATCTAGTAGTCCGATCTTGGAACTGTGTGCGCCATCTCCATGGCAATCGATACACTTTCTATCAATTATAGTTTTAGAAGTCTAGTTGAGATGTCGCCACGTGCGCAACTTCTTTTAAAATTTCATTTGAATTTATGCGATTAATAGCAACATCGCACTTATTATTTCTTAAATCAAATTGGGAATAAGTAAATTACTACTCCGTTTCATATATTGTTATTACCATTACCATATTATAGTACCAGCATTGAATTAAGGTGCTTATTCAATGGTACCAGTAAATATGTATAGTCCAGTCATAATCACCATTTCCCCATATAATTTGGCCAAACAGCACTAATTTCTATAAACAATTGCATTTCAGTTCTACCTATACCATCTCCTTTATAGTTGACCATGTACCGGGGGTTGATTTTCCCCTGGGGGTAGATCTGAAGTAAAAATTATTGAAGACAAGCCCAGGAATGGATAGATATTAATTCATTCTAAGGAACTTTTGTTCTATAGGTAGTGTTCTGAAAGTAATACGAGCACCAAATTCAGAGACGAAGTTTCTTGTGGAAAGGATTTGTTCTATAACATTCAATCAAATCAATAAGATTAGGCTACTTTCGATTAATTTATTATGTTTTTATCACTATTCACAAACAACACTTCATACAATATTTTGCGTCATACAAATATTGATTGGCTACTATGAAAATTTGTAATAACTCTCTCACAAAAATTAAACAATTTGTTCGTACCAAAACACTGGTTATAACACATACTTCTCGTGCGTGGCCGTATCCTGTTACATTTACATAATTTATACCGAGCACTAGTCTTTATAAAAGTTAAAATTTAAGTTTCGCCTGCGTTTTTGCATTAGGACATTGTCTATGTATACTATTTACATTTCATAGAAATAAAAATAATTAAAATAAATAATAAATTACGCGCACAATGTGAGCGGTTAAAAAAACTACAAAGTATAAAAAAATCAGACGAAAAAATACAGTCCAGGCACAGCTCGTTTAGCCTTATAAATAATACAGAATTATCACAGAAGAAAATTAAGTTACGATTAATCTTGTCGAAATTATTGTAACTTTTACACAAAATCCAATCGATATAAATCTTAATCTTAACATTTGCCGACTCTATAAAGGCAACAATGGTTCATTTTAACAAAACGGTAGATCTCAAAATTGTACCCAATTGTCTTAGTATAATGTATTGCACCTAATATGTTTGTACTTAAAAAAAACTTTGGTACAGACAGCTGAATACTAATTGGCACCTTACATTACAGAAACCTAACGGACTTGAGGTGCAATTGTTTTTAGTGAAAATAAATCAGAATTTGTCCGGGAAGACAAATTGAACAAAAATACACAAAGTAGAGAATTCCTACAATTTACAAATTACACTCTAATGTAAATTTTCGACGGAATTGATGTAAAAAAGCCTAAAAAATTAATCTAACGAGGTAACTTTCGCACTTAAAATAAACAGACACAAAGGAAGTACTTAATCTATCTGCGGGTTACTGTAGTGTTCTCTTTTTTTTTTTTAATTATCACATTGGCAAATCTACCTAACCTGGTAAACCATCATAATACGACGAATCCGGTAACTTTCCCTCCGTTTAAGAACTACGTTAGCTATTTGACAGAATGTGTTAGCCGTCGAGCGGCGGTCCGAGGTATACCATCGAAACTTCCGTATTGCCGTACACCGCCGAAACTGTCGGGTACAGTTTCTTGTCGGGTAAACCTGAAATGATCCGGATCAAGTTTGACGTTACATGACTGGGGGGGGGGGGGGTACCTCTAAATGCGACACCTAAAAATTCGTAATTCTTTTCGAATGACAAGGTATTATCATCACAGTCTAATATAACCCTGATACGCTCGCCGACTTGGTATTTGGGAGCGTTGTTGAGTAGCGGATAGTTCCCCTGCGCGTCTCCGTTGTGCAGTAAGTGGTTGTCGACCAGGTTCCAACCCCAACTTTGCTCGTCCGAACCTAAGAGCGCGACGTACCCGTGGCATTGCAAAGGCGTGTCTTTTGTAGAGATACCTATTACGGCGACCGTGCCCAAGGGACCTTCCCATATCACTTCCCACGCGTGTCTGCCGTGTCGAAAGCCCAACTTTCCTCTGGACGCATCCGTGCTCTGCGCCACTGGGTTTCTGTGTAACGTAAACCCGTTCGGTTTAATATAAATGTTCCTAGAGCAGTCGTTCGGATTCCAGGCGTGATAAAACGCCCTTAATTTCGCTTTATATGTAGGTACGGAGCATAACAGGTCGGATTTGAGTGCCTCCTCGGCCAACTTTCGGATGCAGTGTAGCCTCCAGACGTCGTTATTTTCGTCGTTCAAAAATTCGTACCATCTCTTGCATACTAAGGAACAATTTCTTAAGTCGTGAAGGTTTAAGTACGAAAATATCACTTCCAAAACGTTATCTGGGACTAGTGTTGCTATTACGGAATCCATCTTTAAGGTGTTTACGTTTAATTTTGACGTTTCGATTTTGACAGGTTATGTTTGCCCATTTCGCCAGTGGCGTACCTTGACTTACCAACAACCTGTCTGATTTATTATGCTTTTCTCGTGTACTCTTTTATTATCAATCTTTCGAAAATTTCTTCAAATTATCTGTTTCACAGTTCCGAATTTTCCCAGTTTCTTTCATTGGCCCTACTGTTCACTTAAAAATTGCTTTTTGCTTTCTCAGATTCCTTCATTTCTTAGCACTTTCGTATGTCTCTCAGCATTTCGTCGCATTCCGTATATTTCTAATATTTCTTCGTCACACATAAGTTCTTCTTGTTCCTCTCATATTTCCTGTCAGCACTTCTTTAAAGCTTGCTTTTTAAAAACTAAACATTCTTTCTTAAATTTTTAAAATTAGTTATCATTATTAACAATGTTGCGAGATTCCACACTGTATATACAACAATGCGCACATTTTTGTGAGTTGGCAACCGCGCAATTTTTAGGAGGGGAAAGCTGCTTGCGCCACGTGGAGAGCACGAACGACGAAGTACGAACGTTAGTTACGTTTGATCGCGCTCGTGAAAGCATCGCTCGTGATAGTTTGTTGCTATTTTTGTGTTATTTAATGCAGGTAGTCATCTTTGCATTTCTTTACATCGTATTTGTGTTTTGTGCGTACTGACTTGTTGCTTGTAAACTAATATCATTGAATTTATAATAAATTCAATGCTAATATTTTTTATCAATAAACTAATAAGATTGGCATATTTTACAAGGTATGGGACCTCGTGATTCTGAAATCCGTCCTTATGAGCTTTAATAATAATAATAATAACTTTAAAGGTTAAAAAAACCTATTTAACGTTATAACTTCTACAGTTTTTAGGAATTATTAAAAGCTTTTATGGGCTAATCAAGACACTAAACGATCTTAAAGGCCTTATATGCTCGTGAAGGTGTTTGAAAATCTTGTTAGCAACTTTTAAACGCTCATAAAGACGTTTAATTACGGTTAGAGATTAGAGATTCGTAAAGGCTCTTCAAAATTCGAATTTTTGGTACTCATTAAAGTTAGTAAAACGCTGTGAAAGATAAAGGATCTTGAAAAATTTTGAGCGCTCTCCACATTTTTGAATTTTGCTAAAACCTCTAGAAGATTGTAGAAACTCTGGAAGACCATCTGAAAAGTTCTTAGCCCTTATCTCTTGAACCTGTTTTCAGAGGTACTACAACATTGCCAGGAGACTTTTGAAAGGTTTTTCAACCTTCTAAAGATTTTTAAATACTTTTAAACCTTCTAGGACTGATAACTGTCTTTAAAACCTCTTACAGACACAGAATTTATTTGGTGGCAAAGTGAAAACGTAAATGGCAAATGAAAAAATTCTTATTTGGCTTCCAAAATTTTGAAATTCCAAATCATACAGTATTAGTTTGCGCTATTGCCGCTACTTTCTCTGTCTGTTCGTTCTTATCGTAACTATTTCTATCGTTTTCAAGATTTTTGAATTTATTAACTTAAAGACCGAAGAAAAATCCAACTTTAAGAATTTTGTTATAGTAGACCCATTGCGGTGGGACTACGTCGAAAAGCGTTTTGTTTTTAAATGATCCGTTCTGTAGAAGGTTTTTTATTCTTCATACCCAAGGGTTCATACCGACCAATTAATTTACTTGTTTCGAAAATGAAATTGTCTGGAAAGATAAATCGAAAATGTACGACACTGACTACAGATGTGAATTTCTCCCAACTATATTGACTCGTTGAACTGCTTCTAGCGGCAGTGCGTCGAACTACGAAAAAGCATGTCCCACGTGAGTTGATTCGACCAATGGGAGCGAAGGCTTTGTGCCCGCCGCCAAGCTGAACCCAGATGTATGTGCACGAAATAGCACGTCTTTAACGAGGTCCTTACGGTTTTTGTATAAATCGAGAAATCAAATAATAATTGTATGTGATAGCAGGATCGAAGTCGTTTACTACTAATAAGTTTGGTAAAAAATAGGTGTCGGTTAGTTTGAATTTTTTGCGGCAAAATGTTATCCTGTTGGAGTCGCCATTTTGGTGAGACCTCTGCCTTCTCCGGAGCTCGTTGTTAACGAAATATCGAAAATCCTATTTTCCTCGAGGCTTTACGCGTTTAGGATTCGTTCGTCGGACACTTGGAGCATTAACGATGACGGACCAGAATAATGCGACGAACTTTGTGATCCAGGACGTTAACGGTAAGCCTTCAAAGTATAGCCTGTTGTAAATCAACATCCTTGAACAACGGGGTGGTAATTACTTAAAATCAATTTTTACGTAAGCATACCCAGAGATTCAAATTGAGAAAGCTTCACCCCTTGACTTGTTCCATTCAATAATTGCGCTCCAAGGGCGCTATTTGGTGTAAAACGCCCCCGATTTTTGTTTTGTTCAATTCTGATATGTAAATGTTGTTTCTTCCAATTAGGGCAAATGATAAAGCTGGTTCAGGCCGGAGGAAGACCCTTAAATGGAATTGTGGCATCCGCAATATCCGGACAAACTTTAAAGATATTAAAGTCGGCACAGACGGACCAGGACAGTTCTCAGGTAATTTATTTCACTTGTCTACGCACGCACGGTTCATTCCGATTTTTAAAGCTCAAAATGCAGTTTTTCGTATGGCTTGGTAAAGGTGACAGCTTAAGTTCATTGCCAAGGACAAAATTCATGAATATTATTTTGACCGGGTTGGAAAGTTACTGCCGACTTAATTTATGTAACGGTGTAGGTTTTTGAACTTTCTCATGTCTGCAAGGTCTTCCGAGTCCCTTTGATTGCCGCTCTTCCTTATGTTTATTGTGTTCATGATTCAAGCCATGTGCTCGTCTCCATGTTCCTGTTTTGAGTGTACGTTCAATCAGATTATTGTTGATATGGAACAAAATTGTTTATTTTAATTAGCGAATATCGTTTTTGAATACAATTGGACGCTACTTCCCAAAGTCACGCTCGACATTATCATAAGTTAGGTTAAGCACATTGTAGGTTAACATCACATTGGCCGTTAAAACGGAGTATTTGCCAGTCGCAAACAACAATTAACGGTTGTTTGAGTTGGAAATTTCGCATCTAGTTTCGTAAAGTGCATTTTGTCACCCTATCCGAACACCCTTTATAAATATCCTCAAGCTTTATGATGATGTTTTGGATAAAAAAAAATTAGTGCTTCTGCATTAGTCTCAGAAAAATGTTTAATGGAACACCCTGTTGATAGTTCCACTTTTTTAATTCAAGTCAAGTCGGTGAAGTTAATATCCAATCATCAATTTTATTTTTTTCTATGGTCCGTAAAAATAATACACCTTGTATGAGCAGAATTTTCTATTACGAATACAACAATATACGGCACACAAAAAAATAAAAGGTGGAAACTGTATGTCAACAGGATGGTGCACCAGCTCACAATGCCTATCAGACATATTTTCCATTATCCAGGAAAACCCCCTAAAAATGGGGCCAATTGTTTTATTTTGAAAAATGTATTTATTTCATCTACCGTCGATCCGTACTGCTCACCCTGTATAAATCTTAACCGTGAAATAGCAGCAAGTAAAATATTTTCAAATTGGAAGCACTTCAGAATTTCAGATTACACCATAAGTTAATGCCAACTGTCTTATTTGAACAGAACGCCCTATATATTATTTCATTTTTAAATTCTACTAACTTTCTATGTGTTCCATGTTTGAAGGCGGCATTAACTACTGCTACAGTTTTAGTATTTAGTTTGTGCTTTTTTGCATTTGGTAGCCTATAGCTCTGGCTCCTCAACCAAGAAAAATCTTGACGATTAGTGCCATATCAACTTTTTTATTTATATAGAAATATTTTTGAAATTTTAACCACAGATCCTTCTAGTAAAGACAGACATATCGCATATTGTAAAAATTTACGCTTTATTTTCGGGTCGTTTTAGTGAACTGTGTTAATATTTCGATTATAAATAAATACAGGGGGTTCAAAAACTACAAAAAATTATTATTAAACACAAAAAATTAGTGAAATGTTATATAAAGGAGTCTATTTAACAATATTGTTTGTTAGTTGCTCATCACTCATCGTGATGGCGGTGAAAAAACAATCGAGCATTAAAGGAATAACCAGTTATGGCCACTCAGGTCACCTAACTGAAAATTTTGATGCAATAGTCTAGTGTGGACAAAGTTAACTTGATTTTTTGTACAGTTATATAAATTAGGGGGGTTTCATAAAAAAAATTCGTTTTATCGATTTTTCAATTCAATTTGTAATCTTAGTTTTTAAACCCCTTGTATTTATTTATAATTGAAATATCAACACATTCCACTAACGCGGAATCTCTTCTAAAAGGAAATCATCTCCAATTAAATAATAGCTTTGTCACAACAACGTCTAAGTGGGTTGCCTTGGTAGAGCAGCCTTGGCTGAAACCCCGCCCACTCAAAAATAAAGGCCATAAATAAATAAATTTAGGTATGGTACAGTATACAGGGTGGTGCACGGTAAGTAGGAACATGGGAAATTAGTTTTATGCAATATCCTGCCCTCCTGTACATTTTACAGAAAAAACTGTCGAGTTTAAAGTTGTTCAGAATTAAAAGGTGCATACAAAACTGTTTAAACGTGTTTTATTAAGCTTTTGGTTTACCCCCAATTTTAAAAATAAATTTTAACATTTCTGTTATTAGTAGCAATAGCCATGACTTTTTGTTGTTTTATGAATTGCTACTAACAACAGAAATGTTGAAATTTATTTTGGTCGCTAGGGGGCGTTTCTCTCACTGCTTTTATTATAATAAAATAATGATTTGGGCGAAACCTTTCTTAGAGCACTTTTTGATGTTCAGGTTGGCCAACTAAGAATGCGAGGTACTGTATCTGAGAATCTATCCATCGCAGAGACTTGCGGTAAAAAAATTTATTACTAAAACGGCCACGAGCAAAACCTGGAAAATATTTTTAAGTTTCTGAAATGACCGCTAGGGGGCGTTACTGCAATCTAGAATCTAACAAAGTGATGTTTGTGTGAATTCTGCTACATTAACCTAACAAAAAAATGTCCGGTCTTTGAAGTCGACGATAATCTGAACAATTTTTGTTTGAAAATTTTTCCTGTATCTCTAAAAATGCAGTGGGAAGGGGGGGGGGGGGATTCAAAGGTTTCCGTAAAAAACACCTCGAAACGGCTGAGCCGATTTAAACAAACTCTGGTTAGTTCAAAAGAGCTATTTTTCAGCTACAAATATTATACTATTTGAAGTTTTGTTAGTTTCACATATCACCACTTGAGGGCTTTTTCGACATTCCGACAGAAATGGTTAATATTCTCAAAAAAATTAAATGTATTGGTTCGATTTCTTTTTTCATGAAAAAGTAGCTAAATGATGCCTAAACAAGCTCGCGAAAACAGCATCTCGATATCGATACAATATCCCCCCCCTTACTCCCCTTATGAAAGAGAAAGTAGTAAAAAGCTTACCTTGCAATTAAATGTGACAATAGAAATTTCTGTGCAAGAAAAAACAAAAGTGGTAAACTTAATACAAAATAAATTTACGGAAAGTATCCAAAATTGATATGGTATTTAAAAATGTTAATAGCAAAACACCAAAGAAAAAAAATCCGCTCCAAATGTCACTATCTTTAATAAAATCCGGCTATTTCATGGAGGGATCGGTGGTTTTCCCAGCCGACACAGCGTATTCGGTTATTTACATCCAAAAATCTGTAATCGCTAAGCGCTCTTCGCTACCGCTAATTACACTTATTTCATTTGCCGGATAACATTTATAAATTCTAATTAACCCCCATTGTCTCTTGGAATTTCTCAGTTCAGGCAAAAGGTCTCTTATCGGCGTAATCCTGCATGGCCTTGAAGTTTGAATGCTCGTTTTAAATTAACATACGAGACCAAAGCCTGCTAATTAACAGTGCTGAAATTCTAAAATATTAATTGGCCCTCGCCTTCTAAATGGCAAGAGCTTTCGGACGCAACAAAGATAATTCATATCCGGCTCGAAGGACCAATGTTTTGCCGGTTCATGCAACGATTACAATTCAATTCCATTTACAATCTCTTTCCACAAATATAAAACAAAATTAAACTGCGCAAGGCGAGGGAAAACCAAATAAAATTATGAGTTTTGTTTATCAAATAAGAATATCGGTGAAAACCGCATTTTGAAATCTGTTTCCTAAGCAGAGGTATTGGCAAAATACACATTCGCAAATTTAAATTGCAGTATTTATCTTCATCTAAGATGGCTTTGAAACAAAAGGACACATAACAAGCGATAATTAAAATTCAGTTTTATTATATAAATTAAATAATAAAAGAAACAATAATTGTGACTAACGTAAATGTTCAAAACGTCTGCTATCATTTTCAATACAAAGATGAAGTTTTTCCTGATGAGTAGTGTTTTCAAGTGGCATTGTATTTCTTTTGTTTCAAAGCCAACTTGGACGAATATTGCAATTTAAAATTGCAAATGCTGCTTAGGAAACTATCAAAATGCGGTTTTCATTGATATTAACCCACGCCCTCTACCACCTATCACGTTTACTAAAAAGACTATATTTATCATTATGATTGTGATGCATGTTTGTGGGGTATATTTTTGGAAAAGCGACAAACATAAAAATTAAAACTAAACTAATTTCCAATGATTTCTCGTTGCCTTTTTTTGTTAACAAAATCTGTTTCTCCAAGGTTAACGCTTCCATAAATATGGCCCACGACCTTTGTTATTAGAACACCCTGTACATATAAATAGTCTTGTATATGATCTTTTCTGATCAATTCATTGAAAATGCGCTAAAGTTGCTCGCTTTAAGGCGAGTACCTCTTAATCTCTTAATATAAAGGGCGTTTCCATAAGAAAGTGCCCAATTTGAATCACCCTGTACAATCGAAAATGATATTAAAATCGCTAAACGGTCTACGAGCGGTATCATTCTCACCTATTTTTTTATTGTTTATAGTCAGCAACAAATTCGGATTTACGTTAATTATGGTTAAATACAATACAATAAACAATTGTAGGTAATAACAACAATTTATTTGTGCACATTAAAAGAGAAAATACTCTCGGTCTACGAGCGGTATCATTCTCACCTATTTTTTTATTGTTTATAGTCAGCAACAAATTCGGATTTACGTTAATTATGGTTAAATACAATACAATAAACAATTGTAGGTAATAACAACAATTTATTTGTGCACATTAAAAGAGAAAATACTCTCGGTCTACGAGCGGTATCATTCTCACCTATTTTTTTATTGTTTATAGTCAGCAACAAATTCGGATTTACGTTAATTATGGTTAAATACAATACAATAAACAATTGTAGGTAATAACAACAATTTATTTGTGCACATTAAAAGAGAAAATACTCTCGGTCTACGAGCGGTATCATTCTCACCTATTTTTTTATTGTTTATAGTCAGCAACAAATTCGGATTTACATTAATTATTGTTAAATACAATACAATAAACAATTGTAGGTAATAACAACTGGAGCAACAAATTATTTGTGCCAATTAAAAGAGAAAATACTCTCGGTCTACGAGCGGTATCATTCTCACCTATTTTTTATTGTTTATAGTTGCAACAAATTCGATTTTGCATTAATTATTGTTAAAATAAACCACTTTTCTTTGCGAATTGAATGTCATAGTTGTTACTTTACAGCAACAAATTTCTGCGTGACATTCGCCCGATTTTTTGCACGCAATCTATTTTTTTGGGTGGGTTTATATTAAGCTGGCCCCACCCACTAATTTTTTTAAAAACGGCCGTTTTATTTGAGCAACAAAATTTTGAATACCGTAACAAATTAGCACTAATTTTTAGAATGTGTTGGATTTTTTTACGGTTGGTGGGGGGGCTAAGTTAATGGAGGTACCAAATGGTGTTTTTGGCAGGTGTTTTTTTAACTGCTTATGCAAATTAATGTACCATGTGTAACTTGGATTTTATTTTAGGGTATTAGTACAGGATCTCAAGTGTTGAAATTGGGTCCAAATTCAAAAATGATAAGTATGTACTGATCCAAAATAGCTCGTTTTTTATATTTCTACTTTGTTCAGAGCCAGTTTCGTTGAATTCATTCCGTTACGCTCGCGGATGCGAGGGAAGTTATCTACAAAAAATGATACGAATAGCTCCGGCGCAAATGGTAAGTTTGTAAGGTACCGGGAGCGGAAATCGACAACGCCCGTTTTGATTTTAGCAAAACATTAAATTAGTCAGTTCGACTTCGCCAAAAGTTCAAAGTATTCCCGCGCCGCCTGCGACGCCGACGATGCAACCGATTTCGCCGGTCCCGTCGCAACCGAAAACGTATATATCGCCGCCGATCCTCGATCACACCGGAGCGAGGAAACGTCAGGATATCGTCGACACGGAATGCGCACCTGAGTAGTACGTTTGGCGTCGAAAATTCGCGCGGCAAGTTCAAAAAGCCTAATTTTTCAGCAAACGCCGAAAAACCGAAAAGGTCGGCAAGGGTCTGAGGCACTTTTCGATGAAGGTGTGCGAGAAGGTGCGAAAAAAAGGTACCACGTCGTACAACGAGGTCGCCGACGAACTCGTGGGCGAATTTACGAACACGTTAAACAACACCGTCACCGATCAGCAGTACGATCAAAAAAACATCAGGAGGAGGGTCTACGACGCTCTAAACGTGCTGATGGCGATGAACATAATTTCCAAAGAGAAAAAGGAGATACGCTGGTTAGGTCTTCCGACAAATTCTCTTCAGGAGTGTATACAACTGGAAAGGGAGAAGCAGAAGAGGATTCAAACGATTAAGGACAAGACGAGAAAGCTGCACGATTTAATACTAAATCAGATCGCTTTCAAAAATCTAGCTATGCGCAATAAACAGGTCGAACAAGAACAGGGACCTCCGATTCTTAATTCCTATATTGAAATGCCTTTTATTGTTATTAATACAAATAAGAAGACTGTTATTGACTGTAGTATTTCTAACGATAAGTAAGATTTTTTTTCCGACTGACGGCTCGATCGTTAAACGGCGGTTTGTTTCAGATTGGAGTACATGTTTCAGTTTAACGATAAATTTGAAATACACGACGACGTTTTCGTTCTGAAAGAGATTGGAATGCTAATGGGTAAGGTTTTTTTCACTTATTCATCGCGTAATCGAAATGTTCGCAGGGCTCGATAAAGGCGAATGTACGCCCGAAGATTTAGAAAAAATTAAATCGCTCGTTCCTAAAGCGCTTGAAGATTATGTTATTCGTAAGTTGCCTTTTGCAATATTGCTATTTTAAACATTTTGTGGTTTTACAACAACACACATGTAAATGACAGAATCTGTAACAGAAGTAGCAATGGCCAAGTGTCGTCTGTAATACAAGTCGGCTGTCCAAGTGACTGTCACTTGTCAGCTGCAAATAGGCAGCGCGCGCATTCTAAAGACATGCCGCCCATCCAGCTCCAGTGACGGCGTTAGGGTGTGCTATTGTTAGTTCCCGGATAAAGCCAGATGCTAAAGCGCTCAGGAGTCTCCACTATAAAAGGCCTTTTAAACGCTTTCCAGAGTTTTATTGGTGTTTTTCAAGTTGTTCCTAATTTTGACCCCCCATTTTTTTGACAGAAATACAAGTTTCTAACGCACCGAGAATCCGAATCAAACAAAATCTCAATAATGTCGATCGGTGTGTTTGTCTGTCTGTAGCAACTGGGAGCAATTTTGGTACACATACTCTTAGATATAAAAGAAAGGGCTTAAAAGTCAGGGTTTAAGCTTGGGAAAAAATTACCTTAAGCGAAAATGGTATAGGCTCCTAGAGGACTGTAGCAAAAGTAATTTTCTTGTATTGTTTTGAATTTTCTTAAGGCACCTAATTAGGTCCCAGTCAATTGTTTTCTTGGTGTGACACGACAAGTGTATAATGATCAGGGTTATGCAATAGTATACCCGTGTGGCGCAGTGAAGTTAAAGCTCGACCGGGGTACCAAGGGTCCCTGGTTCGCGTATGGACATTTGTAAATGTATACAGGGTGTTTTTTTGAGAGCTTTAGTTGAACGTTTCTGGGAAAGTAAAATTTGTACTTAGGGGTTGTTCTGATGGCCGAATCGATGTAAAATATTTTCAAAATGGCCGCACTTCCGGAAACACCGGAAGTAGATAGTAACTTCATTATTTTAAATAGTAACTCCTATTTTTTATTGAATTTTTGGATTCTACGTTCAGTTCAGATGGTACATTGATAATTGATTACTTGAAAACGATTGTAGTCATGGTAACCTATTTTTATCAGTGCATAGAGAATGAATAGGGCTTTCTTTTAGTGCACTTAAAAAAAAGTTGCGTACGACCGCCCCTATGGAGATCCAAATTTATGAAACTTCAAAGACTAAAAACTCAGTTTTTTTAAATGGAATGACCATGTTCTTAATATTGCATGAGATAGAGAATCGAAATTGGCATATTTTGATATTACATGTTCCTATAGCTATCTTTAACATTTTCTGACTTATTCCCATTTTATTGACATTATTTTTTTCGAATTTTCTGTTTAGTAGTCGGCCATGATTTTATAACAATCGAATTTTAAACAAATCTAGTGACACTAATCCGTCACCTATTGTTATAGGTCAGGGGTCGGCAACCTATTGAAACGGAAGAGTCAAAATTACCACAAAAAATTTTTCATTTAGTATAGTTTTTGGCTATATACAGGGTCCTGCAACAGTGCGTCGTTTTTCCTACATAGCTGCTACCTGGTAAAAAATATTGGTGGTTGCGGATCTACAGAAATTATTTTTGAATGTATAGGGTGTCCCATTTTTACGATATCAATAAATAATTGACCCTGCATATTTTTACTTGCTTCAATGCCATTTGTTCAAAGTGCTATAACTATTTTTTTTTCAAATGGAACTACCACTATTTTATTTCTCTATTCGATTGTCTTTTGTGTTCTCTTCAATTTTTATAAGGGGCGCCTTGTGCTTAAACCCCGCAGTTTTTATGTTATTCAATATTTTTCACAAAAGTACCTACTAATTAATTATTTACGTGTTTATACATCGGAGTAGGCTGCTATAATAAAAAAACAAAAGTATACCAGAAAGTAAACAAGTGTCAAAAATTAGATAATTATTTACTGCAAGTGTACTTTTGATTTGGTAAACAAATAATATTAATTAAAAAGGCGAATTTCGAACAAATGAACTAATTTCTTTAGATAAATATGGAGAGCCGCAACTTTATATCAAAAGAGCCGCAAATTTGGATCTCCATAGGTGTGGTTGTATGCAACTTAACTTTTTTTTAAGTGCAGTAAAAGACAGCCCTATTCATTCTCTATGCACTGATAAAAATAGGTTACCATGACGACAACCGTTTTCAAGTAATCAATTATCAATGTACCATCTGCATCAGCGATTTTTTTTCTTAAGGTCAAAATAACTTACAAACCATAAATGGCAGATATCGGCATGTGGGTATCACGTAGAATCCAAAAATGCAATAAAAAGTAGGGGTTGCCATTTAAAATAACAAAGTTACTGTCTACTTCCTGTTTCCGGAAGTGCGACCATTTTGAAAATATTTTACATCGATTCGGCCTTTAGAGTAATTCCTAAGTACAAATTTTCAAAAACCTACCTATTTTACTTTCCCAGAAACGTTTAACTAAAGCTCCCAAAAAAACACCTTGTAGACTGCAATCCCAAAGGCGAAGTTTGGTTGAAGAGCAATACTCTAGGACTGCTCTTCTTTGCTCTACCACTTAACCTCAAAATTGCTGCAAAAGGATGCATAACTGACAAAATGTATAATCCGACCAGTGTTACCCGATAAACATTCTCATTTCATAGATGATACCCTATTAATTTTGAGCTCATTCCTCCTTGAAAAAAGTCCACTTTTTGGGAAATCCCTCCTTAAACCTCCCCCCCCCTCCCCCCAGCATTTCTAGGGTATGCATTCCTACACCAATCTCGCTTTAATTAATGACATACAGTAAGCCTGCTAAATTATTTTTATTATGCGTAGAATTTGACACGAAATTCGAAAATGGATTTAAAAAATACTGTTCTATTTAAAAAAATCAACTTTGGTACCAAAATCTACGTTCAGACGCAACTTGTAAATTTCCTCTTTAGTGTAAAAATCGCAAGAACATGATAGATGAGCATTTTTTAAAGCTCGACATTCGATTTTTAAAGAATGTGTTCCATATTTTAGCCGCTCACTGCATTTGCTTTTTTTACACTGCCTTCACATTTTGTCGGTATAAAAAGTAAATAGGTGGCTTTGATGTTTGTCTCATAACATTCGCTGATCAAAAATAATTTGGTCCAAGCGATAAATAATAATATAATAGTCTAGTTTGACATGACACTCTTTTGTTTATGCAAAACTGTCTTTATTTTGCAGAATATTGTTGTTCAAAATTCTGTACATTGTTGTAAGTACGTATATAAGCATTTTATTTTTGTCCAAATTTCAACATTATATTGTAGTAAAATCGTACTAAATGACTCTCCTATTATCAAGTGTTTATTTAACTATAAATAACTAAAACAATTGCAACATTTAACAGCTTGTTTAACCAAGTTAACCAACCATTACTTTTTTGTTTTAAATCATCCTACAGATGATCACCTTAGATAATAATAATAATTTATTGTCAACGTTATTGACATAGACATGGTCGCAATGAAAGTTTGGTATAAAAAACACACATATACATAAAAATTACAAAAGAACAAAATATAAATATTATATCACATATTCTATCACATATACATGTCAGTTGCTTTGTAAAAACATTGGTCCATTAGGTAGTTGTTAAGTAGTTAAATTTATTTTTATTTTTAATTTTTCTAATATCTGAAGGATATACAGAGTGGACCATTGGTGTGTGGGTGGCCGATTGCTCATCCTGTATAGTTTAGATTCCGCCTATTAAATTATTATTATATATTTTTCCTAATTCCATGCTTATTATCCGTGGTAATACCATCCTTTTAGTTTGAAGAGTTGTATCAGTGACTTATTTATTTGCTCTACTAACAGAAGATTGTGTAAAATCAAATAAACTATTAAGAGATAGGTATACGAACACCTTACGTGAAAACAGGCAGAGTTTTTCTGTGTGGCCTCTTAAAGGTAAAGAATTATTTGCAGTCAAAACATGATGCAGAATATGAAAAGTCAAAAAAAAGGTAACTGCCTTTAAAATATCAAAGTTGTGTTGCATATCACATTTATGGAACACCCTGTACATACAAAAAACTTTCTGCGCTATTCTATTCTATTTAAGTGAAACGTTTTTTGTGCAAATTTAACATAATTGCAGAGTTGGCCCACAAATCGGCCGATCAAATTGAAGAAATCCTCGAGTCGGCCGGTCCCGGCCCCAGTACGGTCTCGTACTTGTCGGCGGAAGATTGCGTCGAGGCGCAACTCGACGAGGAAAACTCGCTGCAATCGTCGAGCTTCGATCCGCTATCGCCCGCCGGTCAGGACTTTACGGACGACGAGGCCGAGTCGGATATGTCGAGCGATACGGAAACGAATTAGTTGTACGGAACGTTCGCAGAGAAGAGGAACGATTGTCGGGGCAAAAAGACGTTTTTTTCGTTTCAAACTAGTGGTTATATACAATCCCAAACCGAACGAAGTCCATATCAATGCTAAGGGTCTGAGTTTCGTTTTTATGTTAATCTCACTCAGTTCTTTCAGTAGTTGTTGATTATAAGATTTTAATGTAGATTTTTATTTAAGTCTAATGTAAATAGAAGCAGCGAAAACGTCTGGATTTGATCTTACGAGAGATCAGACTGAACCAGATTTTTCCCCCCCACGTAGTTACACGCTTGGCATCTGAATTGGTGTTTTTCAATTGTCTCTGCCACAATTTCTTCAAAACATTTACAGTTTTTGCTTTATTTACTTCCGTTTTACTTGTTCGTTTTGAAACTTTGAAGAAATAAAGTGATATCTGCAAGTGCTTAAATGAGAAAATTTTTAGAAATGGTCGATTTTTGTAGTGGACCAATATTTTAACTAGATTTTTATTCATTCTTTCGAGTTAGTGGTGATTTTTCATGATTTGTAAAAATGTACATAAATGCCCTTTATCTTAAGTGGAATTTAAAAAGTATTTGTCAATAATCATTATATTTTTATGTAATTATTTTGTATATACGATTAATTGTATAAGAGTAGTAAATCTGTAGAGAAATTTCGATAATTTGCTTTTCCCGTTTCAGTGTATTATTTTCTTCTTCGGCACAAATTAGATATCGATGTAAAATGTCCAAATGCAATAATTTGTAAGTTATAAAATATAATTTTTTATCGACGTACATTAACATTGTACAGTTATAATGCCATTTTAAGTAGCGTAGTATTTAATTTTGACAAAAGTAGTACAACCAAACTAAAGAGGAAAATTAAAGCAGCCTGTGATTATAAACAAAACAAAACTACATTTTGGTACCTTCACAATTTTTGGTAAAACATTAAATTGAGTTAATAAATTATCTAAAGCGATTATTGTAGTTTATTGAAGATCTTCGTCGTCGTACAAATCGTCAAAATCTGCAAATAGAGAATTAACCGAAGGCCAACGATTTTCAATGACTTACCATTAAAGAAATCCGCATGAATCGTAATTTCGCTTGCTGCCAAATCCATCAGCAAATTACTGGATCCTCCTGCCTGCGAGAGAATTAATTAAAAGACGATTCAAATTTTACTTTTACCTCTTCTAGGTCCATGTATGGTCCCGCGCCTTCTGGAAACATTTCATCTGCTACAATTGCTGGTTTCATTTCTGCTTTAATTGTACACAATTGGTTTTGGTTAACAAGAAACCGAATTGAAAATAAAATTTGAAGGTTATGATCAACTTCTATTTGTTGATATACAGCTATCTTCACTATCGTAAGTACACAGTGTAAACCCGTCCTTATGAATTTGAATTCTTCCCGCTCTTAGGCTAATGGTCTAGTGTGGATCGTCCGGACTCAGTTACAGACATCATGTTAAATTATCTGATGATGTTCACCAAATTATCTTTCATTCCTTTAGATTTTTCAGGATCCTCGAGTTCGTCCAATGGCTCTCGAGTCGCTTTGGGCCCTTTTTCAATTTCTACCTACCTACCTATACCACCAAAGGGACCCCGTACTTCAAATTTCCTCGCCAGTAATATATATCATTTTCCTGACTTTTATGTAAAATGAGTTTGCTAATAAAACCTCGATTCGACGCATCGAGTACTTTTCCAGCTTGTTTTCTTATTTATTGATATCATTGTTGATAAATGAGCGTTTAGTTGATTTGTGCCGCGCACTAAACTTCGCATTTACAGGGAATAGCGAGTATTTAAATCAAACTGTATAGGGATAACAGCATGGACATGTGAGAACTAGTCAGGGTTAGCAAAACTTCGGACCGTATATTTGCAGGTGAGATTTTCATTATTTCAAGTGTAATAGTACATAAGTAAAGTCAAAAGTCCGGTACGGGTTGACCGGCCTTTGACCTACTCGCGCGATATTACTGATACTTACTGATAGAGTAATTAACCACATAACCGAAAATGGGACGAGATTTATAGAAATGAAAGAGGGGAATCAAAAGAAATGCGCCATAATGGAGCGATGAAGTAAAACCGCTAAAAGAAACCGAATTACAAATTCCAAGAACTGAAACCAATACCCTAAGGAACGATATACGGTCCGTGCTATTTATTAAGGAGTAGACTTAGGGATTTATGTGTATTGTTTTTCCCTGTGTCTACTTTTAAATGACAAAATCGCTTCTGAAGGGCGCCTAATTTTATGCATTAATTAATTTGAATACTGTTATTTTGCCTTCCGTATTTTTATTTTCCTTGGCGTATGCGTAAGAGATTTCTTTTCTGTGAAGCCAAAGCAACACGGGGATCTTTAATTGTTTTAAGAAGTTATTTTAGTTGCATAAAATCAGGCGCCCTTCAACAGATTTTTTGTCATTTAAAAGTAGACACAGGGAAAACAATACACATAACTAAATGCCTGTCTACTTCTTAGTAAATCACTGTATGTGAATTGCGCCAAAAAATAAACGTCGTTGAGAATCACGAACGAGCAGAAGAGAAATACGAGCAAACTATATCGTGCTGGCATATTTGGAAGTTGCGAATCAGGGAGAATTATGTTTCATTAAGGAAGCAGTCATCGAGTCAATTAAGTGCTCAAGAGGGATGCGTAGAATAGGTAATTAGCTAATTAAATTTCCTATATTTCTTCGTTAAAACGTTAAAAAATATGGATACGTGTAAGATGTACCTACATAAGTTTAAAAATAAAAGTAATTGTAATTACAATGCTAACGTAATCGATTACAATTGTAATACAACTTTTCTGAAGTAATTAATTACTGTAATTAAATACTTTTATGACAAAGTAATTGTAATCAGTATTCGATTACTTTTTTTGAGTAATCATCCCAGCTCTGGCGACATCTCAACTAGACTTCTAAAACTATAATTGATAGAAAGTGTATCGATTGCCATGGAGATGGCGCACACAGTTCCAAGATCGGACCACTAGATCAAAAGTTACAGCCCTTTGAATTTTTTGTCGAAATTGGCCCATAACTTTTGATTGAGACGTCTAATCGAAAAAGTACGAATCGTTTTGGATTCTACGCACCCAAATTAATAAGAAAAAGTTTTTTCCCGACAAATTTTGGTGCAGTCGATTTTTGGTAAAAAACGAAGGTTATACACTGCCTTTTTTTGGCTCAGAAAAAAAAAGTCTCAGATCGACCGGAAAAAATATTTTCTTATAGAATGTGGCCTGTAGAATCCATAATTTCAAACATTTCTAAGATCGGACTACTAGATCAGAAGTTACAGCCCTTTGAATTTTTTGTTTAATTTTTTTTTGCCCATAACTTTTGATTGAGACGTCTAATCGAAAAAGTACGAAAGGAAGGTTATACACTGCCTTTACCGGGCCTTGAAACTACAATTGCTCTACAGATCTTGCAAGACTCCGTACATTTTGAACTGCCTTTTAAGGAATAATAAGTGCGACGTTTCTGTTAATCGCATAAATTCAAATGAAATTTACAAAGAACCACCCGCAAAGAATGGGCGCTGAGAGACCAAGTTAAACAGAAGCGAAAATCCAATACAAGAGACTAGGGAGCTCATTACGGAACTGCACTTTAGGCTACTACTGTACCATTGTTCTTCTGGTAGAAAAACATTCACGTCAATCATCGCAGGTAGCCGCCCACTGTACACAAATTATGCTATTATATTTTCATCTCTGTCTCGCCCATGCGAAGAAAATGACATAGGTTTTGCGGCTGTTTTCGTACACGTATAAATTCGCCACTGACACCTTGACATTTACCTTTTAATAGGAAAAGTGGCAACAGCACCTTGCGTTTTATGTTACTAACTTCGTGTATGAAGATTGCGCAATTGTTATCATCCCCTTTATTGTCACTTGATTAGTAATCGATTTTTATTTGAAAGAAATATTTACGTGAACATGACAATTATTACCAAACCGTTTTCGGAAAAGAAATCCGACAAGCTCGTTGTACCTTTAGTGGAAAACGAGAAAAATGCGGAAGCCGTACGTATCGCAAATTTGAAGGTGCCACTTCGGTAAACAATAGCTCTTTTTTGCGTTTTAGGTGACCTCAAACGATGTGGAAGCTCAAACACCGGAACATGTTCGCATGGTAATCGTCCCCGCTCGTATGCGCCGTGTTTCTACAACGACCACGCTATGTTTACTGCTAACTGCGCTCATTGTCGTCGGCATCGGAATTGCGGGGGGCACCTACTTGTACCAGCAGTACTTGCGCTCCCAGTTGCGTTTCAAGGGGTGGTGCACGATCCCGTACCCCGACGGACCCAAATCCGCGATGTTCCTCGGCCCCAACGAAAATGCGCAAATGATCGACGACGACCTGATGAAGATCGACTCGAACCTGTTGGAAACCATGGGCAGCTACCTGCAGGAGGAGTTCGAATTGGACCTCGAGAATCAGGTGTACGAGAAGATCGACGTGCCCGACTTTCAAAACGGCCGTAGCGGCCGATTCATCCACGACTTCGGCACGAACACGACGAGCATCGTCGACGTCACCGGCAGGCGATGCTTCGTAATGCCGCTAAATCGTAACGTCATCCTCCCGCCGCGCTCGCTCTACGATTTGATACGCAAAATGTGGGACGGCTATTACAAAATCAACACGGAAATTCTGAGGGAGACCATGCACGTCATTACGCCGCAATTGAGCAAGGACGAGGTGAAACTGCTTGGCGGTTACATCACACGGGAATGCGCCGGATTGCCAATTTACAAGTTGGAGAAATTCGTCAGCGGTGGTAAGTCTTGGGAAATCTGTGCCGTACTGTAAAACGTAGAATGGTGAGACATGAAAAAAGTTTAAAAGGGAGGAAGAGACGGCCGGATATTTTGACAGTAGCCAAACCTTTTGACAAGGAATTACTAGAGGGCACTCTAAAGACCTCAAATTTAAAGTCACTAAATATAGAAAGTATCGCAATCCATTGGGCTCGTGTGTTTACAGAGAGAACGCATGATTTTTTGCCCAAAAATGGCGGAAGTTACCAGATTCTAGTAACTTTAATGGAGATATCTGTATATATTTTTATAGAACATGACAGTACTATGAAGTTAGGTTATAAAAAATGACAGCTATTCAGATTTTATTTGTCAATTTTTTTAAGTTGGCTGCAAATTTGCCCAAAAATGGATTGCGGTACTTTCTATATCTAGTGACTTTACTCAAATTTTTCCTACAGGAGCACCCACGCATGTACCTTTTCTTGCATTTGCAAAAAAGAACTTTTAAAATTTCATTCTGAGCTGCTTCTACAGTTGGGGGTTGGTGTATCAACCCTCATGCAGCTTTTGCTCGGCTCTGCCTGCATACATGGCAACAAGGTACTTAGTTCCAGCCTAGGCAACCTCTTCTTGAGTTACAATTTTGTTCATGAAGGTGGTTGCCTCAGTGGTTGTATTCTTATTTTTTTACACCACATATACACTGTGTTCAAAATAAAATAAGAGGGTCACCTCAACATCTCTTTTACTTGACGAGATACGAAAATGTTCCAAATTCTATAGTACTATCGTGGAAAAATAACATAACCTCTTAAAAAATTGAAGTTGGAATCCTACGCACACTCTTAGCAACTTAAAAGTAATCATGAAATATGGTGTAACATGACCTCACATTTTGACGAAATTATGTGAACTTTGTATTAAGATTGTGCGGCTTCTCTCGCAAATTTGGGGCCCATGGGCTCAAAATATGTAGATTCGACCCTGACCATCGGATAGAGTGTGAGGTCACATACGGAATTATACTTGACCCCAGACTTGACCCTATTATCTCGCACACTATATATGATACCAGGTGATTCATTTATCTTGACACAATTTTTTTTTGGAATAAATTTCATACAAAGGCTATACAATTCTAAAGAGGGCTAATGAAAGGAGCTGGAAATTTTCTTATTTATCAATTGCTTTGATCTATCAATTACTAAGATAATGAAAAAAAAACTGTAATAATTGCAGATTGCATCTAGTTGCCATGAAAAATAACAATTCAATGTAGGATTAGAATTTCCAACCAAATACAGACCATTCTATTTGAAAAAAAGTAATTATTTGGCCCCTTACTTTGTGATCACACCTTGTATAATTCAAAAAAAGTCCAAAGTGATCCAGTCTGTTGCCCCGCCCTATCGGGCCATGGCTCTAATCTCTAGCAATCAAATTGAAACTGTCGATATCTTTAATGAATACTCACGCAAGATTTATGGCTCTTAAATTAAGGTCGTCTCAATACTGTGCAGAAAATTAATTTCCGTTTGTTTCAGTTGTAAAACGGTCAGCGGAGCTCGGAAACGATTTAAAATTCACCCAGTTCGCCGGGAATCAAATTTTAGAATTTGACATTGTAAACATGAACGAACTGAAGCAGTATGAAGAAGGTGATTAGTTCATTTCGTACGTTTCTACACAAATGCAATACATATTATTATACATCACGTATTCGTATATATTAACTGTATAGGGATTGTAGTTTGATTAAATTTTTTGTCATTCTTAGACGTTGTAAACTACCTTGCGAGTAGTAGGTTCATACAAAGGTTGCGTTGCAGGGGGAAGGAGGGGTGAGATGCGATTAGTACTATTTATGTTTTGCTTGTTTACACGATGAGACATAGGGAATATTTTGACGATTGTTGCTGTTATGTACAATAAGTCAGATCACTAGGTGTTTATGTGTAATTTCCTTTGGTATAATTTGAATGTAAAGTTTTTAAACAGAAGGTAGGTATATTACCCATAAATGACAAATGTGTAATTTAATAGATGTAATTATCTAGTTTATAAACTGTCGTATGACATTTATTTATGGTTGAACAATTTTTAATAAATATTATCTTGTAACTAATAAGTATAATAATTCTGCCATTTGAAATTTTCGTAAGATGTATCTGTAGTGATGAGTATTGCATCAAGTATCTCTCTCCATCTGTTCTGCTTTTAATAATAATAATAATAATATTTATTCCATAGAGATTGGAATTTGATTTGAAATGGTGTCACTTTCAGACGCACCAATAAAAGGCAATGAGAAATGCGTCTTGTCACTCAAGAGAGGAATACTGCTTGTTTGTCAATATTAGGTACAATAATCGCTTTTCAAAATTCAAGACTGAATTGATTGGCAACGGGACTAAGATGAGAATTTTTAAATTCCCAGAGAGATCTGAAGATGCAATAACAATTTGCTATGGATTTTAAGCTGCTCTTAATCTAAGCTCAACTTAATTTGTGTAGAGTTTCTGTGAAATTATATTAGAGCCTCAAATTTAAATTTAGGGAAGTTTCGTGTGGACACCCTGTATTGTATCTGCATGACGTGCGCCCACCTGAATCCCTAACCTATCAATGTTACGTCAGTAATGTCATAAATTTATGACGTGAAGGGAGGGGTAATTTAGAAAAATAGCAGAGCGAACTGCGTTGTTAAAAAAGCGAATTTTGATGATGTACTTTGAGATGCAACGTAAGTAACCGGTTTTGTGATTTGAATTTGTCAATTTTGGATCGATATTGAAAGTGCTGCCAACATTGGACGTGTATGGTGCTGCCAACCGAAGGGAATTAAAATTCGAGAATTTTACGAATTTCAAGACCATTTTACGTGCCCTATTTATTAAATGCGCTGTTAGTATGCTTAAAATATAAAAGTAGTGTAACGTAATCGAAGAGTTTCCTATAATTTCTGTTGTAGAGAAATTGGTAGCATTACGCGAAACCCGGCTAACATCGTGATTGCCGTGATTAGACCATTTGTCAACAATGGCGTCAGACCCACATTTTAAAAATCGACTTCAGGTCTTCAAGAACAAAGGGAAAGATCAAGATGTAAGTAATTATTATCTATTTGCGATCCGCAAGCTCAAATCCATACGTGTTACGCATTTCAATCTTTGGTTATCTCGCTAGAATTTGCTAGTTAAAGGTCAACTTGGTTCACATGTCAAATGCTTAAGGTTTTTTGCTGAAATCGTTTATTTCAAGGAAATGCGAAGGAGGCGGAACGAACAAACCGTCGAGCTTAGGAAGAACAAACGGGAAGAGACCCTACAGAAACGAAGGAATGTCCCAATCACCGACTCCACTGACGAAGACGACGTCGATCGTTCTTTATCAAATACAAACTTAGAACAAATCGTAGCACAAGCTGCACAAATGGATAATCCATCGATACAGTTAGTAGCGGTACAGTCGGCGCGGAAGCTATTATCGTCAGACCGAAACCCACCGATAGACGCACTAATCGCTAGCGGCATCCTACCGATACTTGTACAATGCTTAGAGTGCCATGACAATCCAGCCTTACAATTCGAAGCAGCCTGGGCACTCACAAATATCGCTTCCGGTACGTCGGCGCAAACGAATAAAGTCGTACAGGCCGGAGCGGTACCGTTATTTTTACAACTTCTAAATTCTCCCCAGCAGAACGTGTGCGAGCAAGCCGTTTGGGCTTTGGGAAACATAATCGGGGACGGTCCCATTCTTAGAGATTTCGTAATTAATCTAGGCGTCGTTAATCCACTATTATCATTTATTAAACCCGATATTCCGATTACGTTTCTACGTAACGTGACCTGGGTCATTGTAAATTTATGTCGGAACAAAGATCCTCCCCCTCCGATCCATACGATCAAAGAGATACTACCCGCACTAAATATTCTTATTCACCATACAGATATTAACGTAAGTATCCGCGGTCACCGGTAAATAATTAACCGCCGATTCAGATTTTAGTCGACACAGTATGGGCGTTAAGTTATCTAACCGACGGCGGTAACGAACAAATTCAGATGGTCATCGATAGCGGGGTCGTGCCGAAACTAATCCCCCTCCTCAGCCATAAGGAGGTGAAAGTGCAAACGGCCGCGTTACGCGCCGCCGGCAACATCGTCACCGGTACCGACGAACAGACACAGGTAAAAAGGGAGTTTGACAGTTCGCCCCTTTCACTCCTCGTTTCAGATTGTATTAAATTGCGACGCTTTAGCCCACTTTCCTACATTACTCACACATCCCAAGGAGAAAATCTGCAAGGAGGCCGTCTGGTTTTTGTCCAACATAACTGCGGGCAATCAGACGCAGGTTCAAGCGGTAATTGATGCAGGTAAAACATGGTGTAAGGTAAAAGTGCCCCCCTCCTTCCCCCCGAAACAATTTCTTTATTTGGATGTTGCCAATATTATCACTCTGATTGTATTGAATGCATTTCATGACTTCAGTGAAAACAAAAACAATTACAAATAGGCCATGCCCACTTGATCCATTTAAATGAAATTTTGAATATTTGATTAGTAGAGATAAAAGGCTGGCTAATAAAAAATAAGATGTAGTGAGAATGGTTATATAACCACAGATTTAAACACTACATTTAATTCATGACAGGAAAAATAGTTACACAGCCTCTATACTGTATTCATTTTAAGAAGGTAGCGGTAGAAAGCATAGGGAAGCTTTGACCTTCACTGTGATTGGTTAAAACATGAGTCAGTATTACAATGAAACATAAAACGACTGGTGAATTTTGTAAGGTGGTATTTTATATTGCCAACTAAACTGCCTAAATGTCATTAGCTGTTATTGGTTTATTTCTGTTCGCAGTGCGGAATATTTTTACTTTACAATAATTTGGTGCCGTTTAAATTTTTCCTGTGTGTGTTTATCTTCAAACACAGCGCCACCTACTACCTTCTTATAATGAATGCAGTATAGTGTGCGATTTCAGTTACATTGATTATTGAAATGGCATCTTTATATGTCTTCAAATGCCCCATCTCTGCATCCTATCGCATAATTAATAAATGAAATTTCTACCTCTTAATCCACTTATACAGTATGTCTCAGGATTAATATCACTATATGTATAATTGATCAAAAATTGTCCATATGCAAAATTTTGACTTGAATTTCAAAAAGTATTCCAAAATCGACAGTACTGAGATGATGTTGCATGATAATTTAAATTTTGATCGCTCTTCTACAGGGTGTTTTAAAACTTTACTAACTTCAAACCTTAAAAAGTTGATTTTATCAAATGAAACACGCTTTATTTTTTTGCACTTTCAAATGTCGAAAAAAATTCTACATTGATCAATTATTACATTCCTTATACCTATCACTATGATTTCTGTGTTAATTTAGATTTTCTAAAATGGTGATAATTATGCATAATTTTTTAGGAGGCCTTGAAATAAATGCGTTAGTAGAACTGTCAGATGTTTTTATAGTTATAGTTGTTATCATTCACGATAGTAGTTTATATCACTAAAAATAAAAATAATTGACTATTTACCTTAATGAATAAAAAGTTAAATAAAGATAACTTAATAAACAGAGACAGGTAATAATAACAAATGACAAAATAAAAAACAAACATCAATTAAGGTTTTGTTCTACGTGGCCACTGTTTTTTCAATACATCATAGGATCCTCCCCAATGAATCCCTCTCGAATGTCTACTGCATCCATTTCATCAAAAGCTTTTCTCACCCTAACTTTCAGTTCTTCACAAGAAGCAACTGGTGTGAAGTAAACTTTGTCTGTATATGACATAAAAGCCCAGTTGCGTTATATCTGAATAGGCCAACGCCACGGACCTCAGGCCTTCGTCAAAGACATATAAGCGTCATGGATAGAATGAGCAGGTGCTCCGTCATGTTCAAACCAGTTGTTTTCTTCATGTAATGTCTCAAATAACAGTACAGTAGCATCTACTAACGTATTTATTTCAAGGCCTCCTAAGAAAATTACGCATAATGGTCACAATTTTAGAAATTCCAAAATAAAACGGAAATAATAACTTTATTAGATCATAAACCAAAGTAATCTGGCATTAGGTGTATCAAAAGGAGATTTGGTACAGGTAAATGGTACGTGAAGAGGAGAGCATATTTTTCTCACTTTCGGTTTCACAGGAAATAGTCCAGGTTTCAAATTTTTAAATGGAACACCCTGTATATTTTCACATTTTAGGATTTCTTCGTCAAAAAATCCTTTTTTCGGAAAGTGCTTGCCATTTAAAAATACTAGTTAGACACGAAAAGTAATTTGCCAATTTGTTTTATTTCGGTCTCTCAGATTATCCACTAAAACTTTGCGATTGTAATTTTCTGAGATTACTTAAGGTCCTTGTTTGGGGTTCCGATCATGGCCACCTAGATAAAAAAATCAAGTAGGCGTAAAAACTTTTGGAAAGTTCACATTGTGATTCGAGATTGTTTCAGAAATCCCAAAATGTAAGAAGTGTTCCATTTAAAAATTCAAAACCTGAACCATTTCCTGTGAAGCCGGAAGCGAGCGGAAAGAGAAAAATATGCGAAAACTCTGCTCTTCGCGTACAATTTACCTGTACCAAATCTCATTTTGATACATCTAATACTCTAGAAATTATGGCTTGTCTAATTGATTCGTTGACACCCAGTATATACATTGGAGTGTTGATAAAGGATGTTCTACAACAGTCGCTAGATTTGCGCTCCTCGATAATTCTTATGCGTAAAGAATGTATAACAAAGAACCACGAATATTTTATTGTAAACAATAAAAACAATAAAATATTCGTGGTTCTTTGTTATACATTCTTTAGTCATAAACCAGAACCAGATAATGGAGAACTTCATCGAAAATTCTTATGTACTTGTGCTGGACAGCAAATACTGTAGCTGCATGGGCAGAATGCCCCCAGCACAGTATCCCATAGCTTAATGTGGAGGATATAGCCATAGTATACTTCTAGCAAGCGAAAAGTTAAAACTTTTACTTTGGATGTTGAGGTTAGGCTTTTTTGTGACTAATTGCACCGTACTAATAAAACAGATTTCTCTGCATAATGAAACACTTCGGTTTCTGTAAAGTATAAAGTTTTGGTGAGAATCTTAAATAGTTACATTGGTTACATTTAGTTTGGATTTAACCCACCAGAAGGCGCAGACTATTTTAACAAAGCATGATATATCTGGAGTGTTTTAATCTGTGTTAATACCTTCCTTACTAGTTGAGAATGTAGCCCTGCAGCCAGAAATCATTCTCAATGAACAACTGAGTCTGGCTGCTGATTCCAAATGTGTTTTAGGGCGTACAATCTACAGGGTGGCCAACTAAGAATGTGAGGTACTGTATCTGAGAATCTATCCATCGTAGAGGCTTGCGGTAAAAAAATTTATGACTAAAACGGCCATAGGCAAAACCTGGAAAATATTTTTAAGTTTCTGAAATGACCGCTAGGGGGCGTAACTGCAATCTGGAATCTAAAAAAGTGATGTTTCTGTGGATTCCGCTATACTAACCTAACAAAAAAATGTCCGGTCTTTGAAGTTGACGATAATCTGAACAATTTTTGTTTGACAATTTTTCCCGTATCTCTAAAAATGAAAAATTAACCATTTCTGTCGGAATGTCGAAAAAAGCCCTCAAGCGGCGATATGTGAAACTAACAAAACTTCAAATATAGCCGAAGAAAAACTCTTTTCAATTAACCGGAGTTTGTTAAAGTCGGTTCAGTCGTTTCGAAGATACAGGGTGTTATTTACGGAAACCTTTGAATACCCCCCACCACTTCATTTCCAGAGATACAGGAAAAATTGTCAAACAAAAAAAGTACAGATTATCGTCTTCTTCAAAGACCGGACATTTTTTTGTTAGGTAGCAGAAATCACAGAAAAATCACTTTTTTAGATTCCAGATTGCACTTAGGCCCCCTAGCGGCCATTTCAGAAACTTAAAAATATTTTCCAGGATTTTCTCGTGGCCGTTTTAGTAATGACTTTTTCTACTGCAAGCCTCTACAATGGACAGGTTCCCAGATACAGTACCACGCATTCTTATTTGGCCACCCTGTACTTAGTAGAGAGTACTAAGTATACTTTGATATAATTTTGATATTTGTCATCACTTTTGCACTCGAAAAAATGATAATTTTTTTCCATTTAGGACTACTACCAAAAATAATAAGAAACCTCAGTAAAGGAGACTTCCAAACGCAAAAGGAGGCGGCGTGGGCGATCAGCAATCTTACAATAGGCGGCACACGGGAGCAAGTGACGAGCTTAATACAGGAGGGAGTCATACCGCCGTTCTGTGATCTGCTGACGTGTAAGGACGCTCAAGTCGTACAGGTCGTGCTCGACGGTATTCATAACATGCTAAAAATGGCGGGCACGGAGGTGGAACAGTTGACGAACATGATCGAGGAGTGCGGAGGGCTCGATAAAATTGAGCAGCTGCAAAATCACGACAATATCGATATTTACAAACTTGCATACGATATTATTGAGCAATACTTTAGTGAGGATGTAAGTTGGGGAGATCCGTGCCGTTCCATTTCAAATTTTGAAATCCCGTATCTATGCCATCCTGTGCAAAAAGGACTTTTTGAGCCATTTAAATTCAAAATGTTGTTTTTCTATGAAAATGAACGTAAGATGGCTTCAAAAATCCAGAGTTAGTTTTTCAGGTTTCATTTAAAATTATCTGATGGTTATATGACTAATGGGCTGGCTAATTATGACACCCTATAAAAGGATAATGATTCTTATAGGATCAAAATTGGAAATGGGCGGAGCCAATGAAATCTCGCACCTCTCTCTGTGTCTATATTTATATCTGGTATCTTCCAGGCGGAGGACGATTCTGCTTTAGCGCCGACAGCAGGCGAAACTGGGTTTCATTTCGATCCAAGTACAAATCTACCGAGCAAAGGATTTAAATTTTGATATCTTACAGAAAATTCACATTATAGTATAATAATGTACGACCCGCTTCCATTTATGTTAACATTTTAAAATATGTACGCTCATTTTATTCTTCTGCAATTATGGGCTTTTAATTGTGTGTGAAGTTTTTAATATTTTATAAATTAGTGCAATTGCCAATAATACCATAGAGGATGGTAGTCGGACGTTAATTCCCCAATTAAGTCCTATAAAATGAGCGTTCATAGAGAAGATCTGCTCATGTGATTAAAAATTTTACTATGAATGCAATTTGATCAAAACTATATTAAAACAACTGTTAATTTATTTATATATCGGGTCTTAAATCATTGTTTAGCAGCCCCAGATTCATAGTTTTAAATTATGATGGAATAAATCATTTATCTTAACTGTTAATATAACTTATTACCTGACTGTCATTTCATTTTGATAAAAATTGTACATTAACTTAATTAAAATTGCTTTAAATCAAATTTTCTTCGTTAAATTCCTGCACTGGCATAATCCGTTCATTATCAGCTTCTCTGTATGGCCGGTTTGGAATTTGATGTACGAATCGGGTGGGAAATTCACCTCCAATACTAATGAGCCACGATTCAGCATTAACTTTTGTGATGACTGACAATCGATATGCTTTGACTTGCTGGTTTTGGAACTCAGACTGCGCACCTTTGGACCGGATTCCTCACAAATGGTGGGTAACTTTTCAATTGGCACAGATTTACTACGGTTTTTGGATGAAGGAAGTCGGTCCTAAAATGGTTTACTAACATCTAGTATCGTCATTTACAAATTATTACGGTAACTGCCGAGGAGCATGCAGAACACCTTGTTTTAACCGTATCCCAGTCTGTTAACATCTCTGTCTTGGGTAAACTGATCCTAGCTACATCCTCACGAACTCTCACACGATTTAGAAAGCTAAAAGTTACATATTAGAAGTAATCTACTAAAACAATCGCCTACTTCGGTGGGGGTGTCTGCCAATAATTATCCACCCTATTTTTACGGGTGAGCGACTGAAGCTTTTGTAACAAAATCAAGTTGTCTCGTTCTATTTTCGTTTGCCTTTCGATTTCGGTCTGTTTTCGTTTCAGTTTAACTGCGACATGTTCCCTACTGACCGGCGGCCGATTATCAATCACCGGTGCCGCAGATTTCACCTACAAATTCGGCTGCTTACTGAGCATTTTATTAGCGGCGGATTACTTTTCGTAAATGATTCTCATACTTTCTCTGCTGCCAGGGGAGAATTAAGAGCTTATCACGACGTGATAGCATTTTGAATCTGCATTTTCAAACGAAATTATCCGTTGCTTAGCAACCGTGCCAGTACCTACATTATGTGCACAGTAGGGCGGAAAAAATTCCAGCATTGTATAATGCTGTTCCTTAGATATGTTTGAATGCTTGGTATCTTCTCTTCAGATTCTTCTACAATCTTTCAGGTTCTTTTAAATCGCTTAGACCCGTCTGATCCCTTTATAATTCTACAGATAGGTACTTCACATTTCCTTAAAATCGTTTAGTTTTTTTAGATCTTCCACTTTTCCTTCAGATCCATTTATTTCTTATATCATTTAGATATTTTTGACTCATTTGGACACTCGATAACCCCGTTCTAAATTCCTATTAAATCTCTCTTTCAGATTCTCTTTGAATCCTGACCTTTCAAAACGTTTTAAGCTCTTCGTCTCCAAACAAGAAAACCGATGAAGTTCATTAAATGTGAAGGATACTGTACATTATCAAAAATCAATGTTGGTAGTACTGTTCTAACTAGAAAAAAATTCTGGTGGAAAATGAAATTTTAAATGTCAACGTTTTTTAATGTTTACCACAATTTTATGTTGATATTTAGGTTAATTTATTAGTATTTGTATCGTTATTTTAATTGTAAATCGATTATTAGCGCCCGACCGCCATGTGGAGTACGACAAATGTCCGTCCTGGCTAAATATTGACACGCCACTGAAATGTCCATAAATGTTAACGTTAATGGAAATCCCATTTCAATTCGGGGCGGAAGAATGGTCACCGCCAATCCAAATTTTGATAGCAGCAGAGAATTTCAAAAACGCAGACGCATCAGGATACAGCAGGTAAGTGTTGGCGTGCAAATTTGGTGGTCACGAGACACGTTCTTAGGTACGACAGCAGTCCAAAGACATCGCGGAGAATGTTCGCAATAAAGTTCGCAGAGAGCAAAGCAAGAAGTTGTCCGAAGTCGAAAGGCAAGGCGAAAACGAACGGAAGAAGTGGCAGGCCAGGAAACTACTCGCTTTGCAAGAGCAGTACAACGAGTGTCTCAAGGATATCGGGCTCGGTCACGCTCAGGCGACTCTAGAGGAGGAATCCGAGGAGCGGTTGCTGATGGAAAGGGAGAGCAGTGCTAAATTAATGAAGGAGCGAGGTGTCGAGGCCGTGCAGAGATTAAAAGAGAAGATTCAAAACGAGAAGAAGGACAGATTGGAAGGCGTCGAAAGGCGAAAATATAATAAGGCCGTGGAAAACGCGAGATCGGCAATGATAGTTTCTTTGCAAAAGTCGCAAAGTCCGTTTAAAAAGAAAAAGAAAATGTCGACTAATATCGATATCGTGGTGAGTGATACGGAGTCTGAGCCCGAAGTGCCTGTTAATACGCGACGTTTTAGTACATCTGATATTAGTATTCCTGTTAACAATGACTTTTTGGAAGTTTCAGAGAGAGGAGTACAGGCAGACTTGCCAGAGTCTTCTAAGCGAGAGTAAGTGATTTATTTGCATTAGACTATAAGATTATTATTATTCTCAGTGGTGGTCTCTTATCAGGTCCTTGTACAGTAACCTTAATAGTTGCACTCCCTTAGGATCCAATTGCTCAAAAAACCCATGAGATTACTTTTGAAAAAGAGCTCGTGCACTGAACGTATATTTGAGGATTTGACACGTTAAATACAATGTTCTAAAAAGTATGAAATCGCTATAAGGGGGGCCCCAAAAATATGTGTACATTCGCCTTTGGGAGTAGAAACAGGGAGCACCAGAGTTTACTCAACCAAGGAGGTGGGAATGGCTTGCGTGGGATGTTACAGGGGCCGTGCTATAAATTTATTACCAAAGATTGAACGTTACCACTATCATTTGTTTTTAATTTCGGAAATCATATTAGCCTTGCATAGACAAAGTCATACAACATTAAAGGTTAGAGGTTTTGCTCCACCTACGATTTCCCCCAAATAGTGTTCAATTAATGGTGGAAAGAAATGAAAATTGTGGGGATTGAAGTTCAATGCGAATAAGCAATCAGTCTTACTCATTTAATATAGACTCGATTTTAAAGACCAAATTGGCCTACAGTCTTTTGTTTTCGAGTTATGACCAAAGTTGCATTTAGGTAAAAGCCTATAACTTTAAAGAAATTGAAAAAATTGTGAATTTTTTTGTATTTTGTTGAATGTTTTTGAATCTTTTTTTGCATATCGTCCCTTTGAAAAGAGAACTTAGCTGTCTGTTTAGATTAAAATATATACAGGGTGTTCCAAAAATGAGGTTAGGTCTGATAACTTTTTTACTTGACCCGGTAAATGGTATATTATATACAACAATCATCTTAATATGCATATAAAAGGGGGGAAACAAGTAACATTTTTGGTGTACATCAAAAATTCAAATTAATTCAGAGAGGTGTACACCAGAAATTCAAAGCCGTTTCGTCTGGTTTACTATATATAGATAAAAATGAATGTTTGTCTGTCTGTCTGTCTCTTATGCGCGTTTAAACCGTTTATCCGATTGCAATGAAATTTTGGGGAATGCTTGGATGCATGTTTCTAAATTAGTAAGACACTTTCCGAAATTCCCACGAAAACGGTAACAGAAAAAAAAACAGGATGTGATGCTAGATGTGATGTTTTGCAGTAGGAAAGAGACTTGACCTTTTAGAATGTAGGTTTCTTCCAAGGCGTGTATTCCGAAAGCACTTTCCGCAGTTCTTAGGAGAACAGCGAAAAACGGGAACAGCTTGCGGGAAAATATGGGAGTTTGTTGGGACTACTAATTTGTAATAAACACATTTTCGATAACTTAAATAATAAAATGAATAAAAACAAAAGACTGTAACCTTTTTTATATATTTGAATGTTTATGTGCATGTTATATTGCGTTATATTAAGGAACTTTTAAGAGCGAACAAAATTGGTTTCATGAAAGCCCGCTTTCGTCCCACCCTCTGGCTACGGCCCTTGGTGTAAGGGTCTAAATTTGGTAGATTTATAAACATGAATGGAAGTTAGGGCACCGTTTATACAGTGTGATTGATTTTGCCTCGCTAGAAACCAATTTCGGGCTGTAACTTTTGAACTAGTAGCCCAATCTTCGAACTGTTTGAAATTATGGATTCTACAGGCCACATTCTATAAGAAAAATTTTTTTCCTGGACGATCTGAGACAATTTTTTTTTCCAAAAAAAAGGCAGTGTATAACCTTCCTTTTTTTCGACGAACTCGGGAAAACACTTTTTCTTATTAATTTTTTAGAAATTCGTACTTTTTCGATCAGACTTCTCAATCAAAAGTTATAGACTAGAAACCCAAAGGGCTGTAACTTTTGAACTATAATCTTGGAACTGTTTGAAATATGGATTTACAGGCCACATTCTATAAGAAAATTTTTTTCCGGGTCGATCTGAGACAATTTTTTTTTCGGGGCTCAAAAAAAGGCAGTGTATAACCTTCCTTTTTTACCAAAAATCGACTACACCAAAACTTCTCGGGAAAACACTTTTTCTTATTAATTTGGGTGCGTAGAATCCAAATCAATTCGTACTTTTTCGATCAGACTTCTCAATCAAAAGTTATAGACTAGAAACTAATTTCGAAAAAAAATTCAAAGGGCTGTAACTTTTGAACTAGTAGCCCAATCTTGGAACTGTTTGAAATTATGGATTCTACAGGCCACATTCTATAAGAAAATTTTTTTCCGGGTCGATCTGAGACAATTTTTTTTCGGGCCTCAAAAAAAGGCAGTGTATAACCTTCCTTTTTCACCAAAAATCGACTACACCAAAATTTCTCGGGAAAACACTTTTTCTTATTAATTTTGGTGCGTAGAATCCAAAACAATTCGTACTTTTTCGATCAGACTTCTCAATCAAAAGTTATAGACTAGAAACCAATTTCGAAAAAAAATTCAAAGGGCTGTAACTTTTGAACTAGTAGCCCAATCTTGGAACTGTTTGAAATTATGGATTCTACAGGCCACATTCTATGAGAAAATTTTTTTCCGGGTCGATCTGAGACAATTTTTTTTTCGGGGCTCAAAAAAAGGCAGTGTATAACCTTCCTTTTTTACCAAAAATCGACTACACCAAAATTTCTCGGGAAAACACTTTTTCTTATTAATTTTGGTGCGTAGAATCCAAAACAATTCGTACTTTTTCGATCAGACTTCTCAATCAAAAGTTATAGACTAGAAACCAATTTCGAAAGAAAATTCAAAGGGCTGTAACTTTTGAACTAGTAGCCCAATCTTGGAACTGTTTGAAATTATGGATTCTACAGCCCACATTCTATAAGAAAATATTTTTTTCCGGGTTGATTTGAGACAATTTTTTTTTCAGGGCTCAAAAAAAGGCAGTGTATAACCTTCCTTTTTTACCAAAAATCGACTACACCAAAATTTCTCGGGAAAACACTTTTTCTTATTAATTTTGGTGCGTAGAATCCAAAACAATTCGTACTTTTTCGATCAGACTTCTCAATCAAAAGTTATAGACTAGAAACCAATTTTGAAAAAAAATTCAAAGGGCTGTAACTTTTGAACTAGTAGCCCAATCTTGGAACTGTTTGAAATTATGGATTCTACAGGCCACATTCTATAAGAAAAATTTTTTTCCTGGACGATCTGAGACAATTTTTTTTTCGTGGCAAAAAAAAGGCAGTGTATAACCTTCCTTTTTTACCAAAAATCGACTACACCAAAATTTCTCGGGAAAACACTTTTTCTTATTAATTTTGGTGTGTAGAATCCAAAACAATTCGTACTTTTTCGATCAGACTTCTGAATCAAAAGTTATAGACTAGAAACCAATTTCGAAAAAAAATTCAGAGGGCTGTAACTTTTGTACTAGTAGCCCAATCTTGGAACTGGTCGAAATTATGGATTCTACAGGCCACACAAGAGAATTTCAAGCTCTTTAACCATATCACAGAAAAAGTTCAATTTAGAAAAATTAATTTGTTTTCTGATGCTCTTTTGTTTTTTTTTATTATATAACTATCTGAAATTGAAAGTGGAGTATTTCTTCTTGGACATGCAAAATCAATCACACTGTATAACACAATATGGATGCACTGTTGTATAAAGGATCCTCACACCAACGCGGTACGGGGCGAAGCGGGAGGGGAAGCGGCCCGAAAACGCGAGAAACTGGAAAAAGTTCATATTTTATTCATACTAACGCGATTTTGCGGTAGCGAGAACACCGAAGTCAATATCTAACTGTATTATCGCACCGCTCTCCGCTCCGTCGTATCGTGCATATAAGTCAACTGCAAAGTTTGAACCAAATCGGTTCAAGCGTTTGACAGTTATCGTGTTCACGGACAGACGGACACCATCGACTCCCCTATTAAGCTTGCATCGCTTTGCTCTGCCGCTTAATAACCGGATATATTTGTACAGCGGGATATGCTATCACATACTATGGGCGAAAGTGTAAATCGCGCACCGCAAATTAAAAAAGCACCCCCTGTATAATACAGGGTGCCCATTATGTATGGAATATTGTATATATCTTTGTAAATATCGAATGTATACAACATTTTTCTATATGAAAGTCGTTAAACATTTTATTTCCCATTAGCATTCAGTTGTTTTTATTTCAGAAAACAGTAACGAAAAAAAATTTAATGTTTTTAAGTGACAGTGCACCTTTTCATTAGGCTCATTTGATAGCGATTTTTTTCTTCTTTTCGATGATATAACATGTTAGTACTCTTATTCAAAAAAAATTGTCAAAAAAAAATTTGATCAGTAACATTAATCCAGATATCCTACATAAAACAATTGAACGTCTACGTTTATTATTTAACATCGCAATGAATGTTCAAGGCTTGAAATAAAAATAATTTTTTTCTACACCTGTGAAAAGAGAAAAAAAAACTCTATCAAATGAGCCTAATGAAAGTGTGCATTGCTATTTAAAAAAATTCAGTTGTTTTTCGATATTCATTTGTTTTCTGAAATAAAAACAATGGAATGCTGCCTTATTATTGGAAATAAAATGCTAAACAATAAATTACTGTCATATACAAAATTTTGTATACAGTCAATATTTAACGATATAATTATGTACTATGTTCCATACATAATGGGCACCTGGTATAATGGTCACTGTGCGGTTTGTGGTCGCCGCAAAGAAATGCGGTTTCTCTGCCGCAACTTGTTCGCGGGAAATCGCAAAACGCGTGCGGCAAATTAAAAAACCGCATCTTGAATGCGGGAATCGCAGAAGTTTGCATTTTTGTGTGGCAGATCAGTACTTTTATTAGCCAGTTTTGACTCCACAATTAATAAGATCTTGTCAGGGGGCTACCAGATTCCCTTTGTCGATACCCACTTCTGACGCCCCCACAGACGGCGGAGGTATACGAAGTTTGAATCAAAACACTTGTACCACGCTATGATAAGCGCCTCAATATGAATGGCGACTATGTTGAAAAGTAGCCTAAGAGTGTAGCTTGCAAATGTATATAATAAAAAAGTTGTTTCTTACACTTTCTTAACTTTTTATTTCAAACCGTCTGCTACTTTCTGAATGGCCCTTGTAGAACAAAGTTACAGCGGTAGGAAAAGGCTGCAAATTTAAACTAATTAGTCTGTATTAGTGTGACCAGCATTTGCACCCTTATTCTAAGACGCAATAATTTCTACGACTTGTACCCTATGTCATAGCTAAATTTGACGCGAGAATTGGAGTGGCCCTTAAATCTGAAAGTATTTTAGCTAAAGCCCCATTTCGTGATAATCTTTTCCTTTTGCAGACCCGAAACTGATACACTAACAAGTCTAGTTTATCCGCTCGACACTAGAATATCGGACAGAATTAAAAGGCGCAGACTGAAATGTGCGAGTTGCGATTTATCGAGCGGCCTTCTTAGTAATAAATGTGACGAGTTAAATTCGGAACCTGCGGTCCCCGATCGCGAATTGCCCGTTAGAGAACTGTACAAGTACGATCACGAAAGATACCAACAGCCAGCAACCGCACTCCAAGCCGATCTACCGGCTAAGCCGACGGTTAAGTTACGAACGACCTCACGAACACAGGCGTCCTCGACCAGCGGTAACAAAGTGCAATATTACGATTATCCGAATCGGTTTGTAAAAGAGTACGAGGCCCCGCTCTCGAGCGTACATCGCGTGAGCGAAGGTAGCATTGAGGTGTGTCCGAGCACGGGTAGCGAGGTCGAGTACGTTGAGCAGATGTACCAACGGGACCGCGACGCGCAAGTACGAGGACAAAAAGCGATGGAGAAGGTGAAGGTGCGTCGGGATTACAAAGAGATGCTCGATCAACTGTCGAAGCTGCAAAAGAAAGAGCGCATCGCCTCGATTTCGTCCACCAAACCCCAAGTGCACATGTCGCGCGAACGCTTCAAGCAATTCGAACGAAAGCGCCAAAATCGATTGGAGAACGCCTACGAGAGACTGTTCCCGCAGACGCAGATAGTGACGATACCCCCGCGAACGCCAACCCCACCTTCGACTTCGGTCAGGCAGCCGAAATCGAAGGCGAACGTGGGCGTTTGGGATTTCGAAAGTAAATCCGGTCGCGCCGCAAGTCCGAGGTTAGAGCAGGTTTCCGAACGAGACGCGGCGAAACGAAGCGAGGATCTGCAGAAGATGCTCAAGTCGTTAACCGAGCAGCGAGATAAGGTCGCGAAGGAACTGCAATCGCTGCCGAAAACGAGCAAGTTGCATAAGATTGTCGGGGATCTGACGTGCATCGATCAAATTCTTGATAAGGGACGAGCTATGGATAAATCCTCGGCACAGCAGACCCGTCCACAGACCGGTGGAAGTTCCAAACCGAAAAATCAAGGTAGGTACACTTTCAAGTCTCCACCTCTTTCTAAGACCACGCCCACTTAGTGATGTTTGATAAAACAGAGCATCTCCCTCACTTGAGTCATAAGTTGAATATTGTTGTATGTACAGGGTGCTCCTAAATGTGGCATAAGACACAACTTTGTTATTTTAAATAAAACATTCAGTAGATTTCTATCTACCTATTGTAATGGTACCAGTATACAGGGTGGTGTTTTTAAGTTGACCATTAGACGTATCTCAGGAACGGTTTGGAATAATAATAATAATCGATCAAAAGGAATCATTTAAAAATATTTTCAAGATGGCCGCTTTTCCGGTTGTATCAGAACGATACCGGAACTTGCTTATTTCAAATGGTGTCTATCGGACATGGTGTCGAAGTTATTTGACATTTTTTTACGATTTCAGAGGTTCAGTAACTAAGCTATTTCACTGTTTTTTTCACGAATAAGGAGTCTTTTTGTGCAAATTTCAATAATAGATGGTTGCTGATCTACAGAAATTATTTTTTAATGTACAGAGTGTCTTATTTTTAGGGTGCCAATAACTAAATGAACACACTCTGTGTATTTTTACTTGTTTCAATCTCATTTGTTAACTTCAACATGGAAACCTATTCTCTTTTCTCTCAACGTTGCCAAGCCTCACTGTGATGAATCGTAGCCACCTTGATTTTGAAGTTAAGCATTTGATCAATTATGTTAATCCAAGTAAAGGTCAACACTTTGATAATGAGAGAGTTGGATTTAGCGATACAGGGTGTTTCCAAACTTAAAACTGCCGTAAACTACTGTTTTTCAAATGGAACTACCACTATTTTATTTCGCTATTCGATTGTCTTTTGTGTTCTCTTCAATTTTTATAAGGGGTTCACAACAGTACCTTACCCATTAATTAATTACATGTTTGTACATTGCAGTAGGCTGTGATAATAAAAACAAAAGAATGCCAGAAAGTAAGCAAGTGTCACAAATTAATTATTTTCTGCAAGTGTACTTTCTATTTCGTAATAAAATAAGATTAATTAAAATAGTGAAGATGGTTTTTTAGATTAATGCGGAGAGCCGCTAGCCGCAGGTTGCCGACCCCTGCGCTAGTGGATGCAATGGCAGCAGAATTAGAGAATTACAGTTAGAAGGTTCAGATTTGGCAAAGACTAGGGGCTACCGATGACCCTGCCAAGGTTGCTAATTGATCAGAATGCGGGTAGTTAGTGGCATTCAATGGCATTTCAATGTTTTTAAAATACACATAATAATAGATTAAAAAAAATAATAAATAATAATAAAGACGCATTGGTTATAAAGAGAGAAAAAAAACAAACACAAAAGTTGTGGGATTTGTCATAAATCGCCAGAAAATGTAAAAAAACAAATGAATATCGCAAAGTTTGTAAAAAGTGCAGATTTAGTAAATTTTTAATAGAACGCTCTGTATATTCAAGAAGTGAATAGATTTTTTTCTGATTTCAAAATTGTATAATTTGTTAACATTGGCTTGAGCCGTTTGCATTTATAGTATACTATCAAATTTTTTTTCCAAATCGCAATTACCACAACAAAGCACATGCTCATTATTATTTATTATTAATTAATATACGGTGCTATAAGTACAGTGTCGGACTGGCCAGGCGGGATACCGGGAAATGTCTCGGTAAGCCCCTCCAATTCGTCTTGGGTGGGCCCTTCCACATAAACAAAAGATAATGCGGAATGTATCGATTTTTTTCTTCATCGAACACAATGAAAAATCTACATGGAACCTATCAGAAATAAGACAGTTGGATATGCTACAGCGCCACCTTATCAGCAATTCTCAAATTGAGAATTGTGTCTTATCTTGGGGAGTTAGAAGAAATGTCTTATGGGAAATACTTTTGTATTCATCAATTCATCTCACCGATTTTCATCAAATTTGTTTTGAAATACTCAGAACGTATATGGGCAGAAATTAGGGTACATTTAAATTCAATTTTCAGGAACACTACCAAAATACAATTTTTCGAGAAAATTAACCATTTCTGTCGGAATGTCGAAAAAAGCCCTCAAGCGGCGATATGTGTAACTAACAAAACTTCAAATATTATAATATTTGTAGCCGAAGAATAACTCTTTTCAATTAACCCGAGTTTGTTAAAATCGGTTCAGCCGTTACGAAGATACAGGGTGTTCTTCTTTACGGAAACAATTGAATACCCCCCACCACTTCATTTTTAGAGATACAAGAAAAATTGTCAAACAAAAAAGGTTTCGATAATTGTCAACTTCAAAGACCGGACATTTTTTTGTTAGGTTAATATAGCGGAATTCACAGAAAAATCACTTTTTTAGATTCCAGTAAAGTCACTAAATATAGAAAGTACCGCAATCCATTGGGCTCGTGTGTTAGAGAGAGAACGCATGATTTTTGCCCAAAAATGGCGGAAGTTACCAGATTTTAGTAACTTTAATGTTAGGGATTGTTCCACCTGTTTGGAGATATCTGTATATATTTTTATAAAACATGACAGTACTATGAAGTTAGGTTATAAAAAATTACAGCGATTCAAATTTTATTTGTAAATTTTTTTTAGTTGGCAGGAAATTTGCCCAAAAATGGCGGATGATTGCGGTACTTTCTATATCTAGTGACTTTAGATTCCAGATTGCACCCCCTAGCGGCCATTGCAGAAACTTAAAAATATTTTCCAGGTTTTTCTCGTGGCCGTTTTAGTAATAAATTTTTTTACTGAAAGCCTCTACAATGGACAGGTTCCCAGATACAGTACCTCGCATTCTTATTTGGCCACCCTGTACATTGTTTTTCCTTTGTCTACTTTGGAAAGACAAAATCTCTTCCGAAGGGCGCCTAATTTTAGGCATCCAAAATAACTTTCTGGAATAAATAAACATCTGACTGTCATATTAATTAGTCTGACTTAAATCTCTTATGATCTATTACCGGCATTATACCAATTGACAATATCAACTTTTTCTTCAGTTGAATACATTGCAAGAACGAAAATAAAAATACGTACACCAAAGCAACAATATTCTAATTATATTATATTATACAAGTCAGTATTACCCTGAAAAATAAAACGAGTGATGAATTCTGTCTGTTAGAAGTTTCAATTACGAACTTAACTGTCGAAGTGTCATTAGCTGTCAATTTCAAAGATCCAAGCGTGATATCGTTTGATTTATATTTATATTTTTCAAATTTTGTGCCGTTATATATTTTTTCTGTGTGTGTCGATCTTCAAACACAGCGCCATCTACTACCTTCTTATAATGAATGCAGTATAGTTAATGTGACAGCCAGATCTTTATTTGTTTTAGTAAGATATTTTGGTTGCATATAATTAGGCGCCCTAAGAAGAGATTTTGTCTTATGAAAGTAGAGATACAGAAAAAAAATACACTTAAATTGCTATGTGTACTTTTTAATAAATAGCACTGTATTATTTTTACCTTGGAAATAACGTACACCAACCTTACTTTTTAATATTTATTTTGAATACATAAACAAAATGTAACTAAAATTGACAAATGATTCAAAGGTTTCAATTCACTTGTCACGCGGATAAATTTATGGGGTGGCGCTCCGTCCTGCTGCCATATAAGGTCATTATATTCTCTGAGAGGAATTTGAGGTTCTCTGATGCCCACGAGTGTTTTTTCGGTTCTATACCGCTGCAGTGGAAAACGTAGCTTCTTTGCTCCACAAAATCGTATTAAAAAAATCGTGGTGTCTTCGTTTTTTCTAATTAACGTATATAATACGCTAGTTTTCGTATTTGTTAATTTTTTGAGGTGGAAAAATGTTTTGTGACATTTCAGATGGGGCTCAAAAGTCTAGTTCCGAAAAACGCGCCGAAGCTTCTCCTGAAAGAAAAACAGTAAAGAGTTCGAAAGTAGATCAGAAAACATCACCAAAGCCACCGCCGCCGCCTCCGAAAGAATTTAAACAGAAAGTTCAACAGACGGTAGCCACACAGACTGCAACGGTAGATGCGGTAACGGAGACAGACGCGCTGACCACAGACAAAGCTGTGAACACCTCGTTGGTTAAGGAAAAATCAAAATCGGGGGTCAAGTGTAGGTGCTCTTCTAAATCTAAAGATCAGTGCGAGATCATCATAAAAATTTGCGACCAAACTGCCAATCAACAGAAACCTGTCAGTCCGCCCCCAGTGTGTGGTATGGAGCGTAAAGGACCACCAAGATCTGATATTAAGAGTGCTGCAAAACTTGCTGAGCCAAAGAAACTTCCAGTTAAAACGGATGGGAAGAATAACGCTTCGTGGCGCGACATTTTGATTCAAAACACCAGTACGAGCACCTCATACTGTAGTCCCCCAGATTTTCAACCAGTAACCCACCCACAGAAAAAGGCATTCAAAAACATTCTAAAAGACATACCTCAACAGCAAAATGTTGTTAACGAAACGGCGCCCTCCACAACACCACTGCTGCAAGATCAAATTAAACACCTGTTGGCAATGTCCCGGGGATCCATTGAGGAATTAACCGTGAGTACGGTCAGCGATGTCTCCACCCCTACCACCAGCGTTATCGAAATGTCATCCAACAATCCCCAACGTCACTTATCGCACATCATGACGCACTTCGCTCTACACCAAACGCCAGAAAACTTCACGTGTTCAACTCCGACCAGTCCCCATCCGTCATTAAAGGGAGTGGACATCGGTTGCCAGTGCGTCGACGATTACGCCTCGGAAAACTATCCCGAAGTCCTGACCACTTACAATAAAATGGCGGAGAGCTGCGCGAAAAAAATCGAAAACTTGGCGTCGATGATCGAACGCGTTCGTCTCGAAAAGCGGGACATACTCGACAGGCCGCCGAGCGGCAGCGACAAGGAGGATTCGACCAAGTACCTAGATTTGCCTTCGAACCGAGACAACAGCCCCTCTCCGAGGGGGCACGATCCGTTGACCTCCAATCTTCTGCGGACCGATTTCGACTACCGCGAGCAGTTAGAGCGGAAACGGACGGACGACGGAAATTCGCCCGAGCCCAATCTGACGAATCACGAGTTGATTCGCCGCTTTCGGAAGTTGAAGGAAGACGACGCGGAACCGGCGACGGACACGCTGTGGTTGGACATACCGAAGCTTCCGAAATTTGAAGAAAATCCCAATCGAGCGCCGAACGCGAGGAAACCTCCCCCGTCGCGCGGTATCACAATCGCGATGCGCCATCATCAGGACATTAACGTTTTACCTCACGAGTTATCCGCCATACCCGAAGTTGACAGTTTCGCGTCGAACAGGCCCCAGAACAGCGGCCGGAGTAGAGACCAGTCGCTGCATAAAGAGGTTAGTACAGTGACTTGCACAATCCTTTTTTCTTAAGAACTCGCAATTAACTGATTTTTCTAATTACAAAATAAAGATAATAAATTATCATTTCTAGCGCACTTGTACAACTTTACAACTCGCCCGAAATTCCCTTACGTTGATTATGCCTTAAAACGGCCTTACTATTCGTTGAACAATTACACTGACCACAATTTAAATTTTTCTTACCATTTGTGGCATACCTATTCGCGCATATGCCTCTTTAAGGTTTGCTTAGCGTGAGTAGCGCAATTACACTGTTCACAAATTAAATGAAGCAGAACGCTTAATTGCCGTGTAATTACACCGGGCAGTGATAGAAAGTTATTCAAAGCGGAGTGTGTCAAAGAATGATAATTGCACTGTTCACAATTTAAAACTTGGGAAATTTTATGCGTTAGGCGACCATTTCTTAAATGATCATTAGTGTTAGTTGCGTAATTACACTGGTCACATTTAAAATTCTTAAAAGTAACATGATCAATTGTGACGTTGTAAACTATCCTTGCTCTTTAAAGTGTAATTACATTGATTCCAAATGAAATTTTTGCAAACTTTTGGCCATTGTAAATAAACAATATGGCGGTTTTATAGCATCAATAGTAATTACAATGTTATGCCGTCTCACTGTTAATCTGAATCGCGAATTGTAGCCTTCATTCTGCCACAGCCTTATACATGGTGTTCTTAAATATGAAGGGGCTAATTCTTTGGCACCGGGAATAAATTGAATTCTTGCCGAAGATTTAAAAGAAACTACAAGTACGATCCATGAATAGGCTTTTGAAGGTGCTAAATCAACTCTTAACAGCACAAAAATGCTTTTCAACGAATTTGAAATTGTTGTACAGGGTGATTTATATCATAGTTGCATTTTTTAATGGAACCCCCTGTATATTATTACATATATACCAAGGAAACGAGATAATAATAATCTTTTATTTGCTCAACGGAAAGATATAAACTTTCCAATTTCAGAGCAAAAACAACATTTTACAACCTGCAAGAGTACAATAGAGTTAAAATAAATTTTAAAATATATATATATACACGGTGTCCATTTTTCGAGTGCCACTATGGGGATCTTACTTATCTTAAAAGATAGAAGGTTGGTTAAATGGGGGCAAAGTTGCCAATTTTCGTGTTGAGTATGAATCTGAAAAGAAATTTGAAATATCTTCAATAGTTTTGAAGATATCGCAAAAAAACGACAATTTCTGATTTTCGTTTTTAATTTTTTTATGATAAACTAATCGTAGTAGACATTTCTAATTAACACATTAGACGGACACTTTTTAATTGAGATTTCAAATATGGCATCCTGTTTAATAACTTTCAATATAACGGAGACACACGTGACAACTTTAGTTTTTCTTATGGGCGCCATTTTGAGTTTTCACATTTTGAGATTACGTCTTTTTTTCTCTTTACAACGATATATCACACATGGTCTGACAATGCTGCAACCAGACAGATGGATCAAACTGTCAAACTTTTGTTTACAACAAAAGAACGTTTTGTTTTTCCAAAGCACTCTTCTCAAAAAATTAAAAATTGTATTTTTAGAAAAAATGTGATACTGAACCACCATGTGTGAGATATCGTTGTAAAGAGAAACAAAGACGTAATCCCAAAATGTCAAAATTCAATATGGCGCCCATAAGAAAAACTTAATTTCCCACGTGTTTCTCCGTCATCTTGAAAGTAATTAAAAACAAGATGCCATATTTGAAATCTCCATTAAAAAGTGTCAGTCAATTAGAAATGTCTACTACGATTAGTTTATCCAAAAAAAATTAAAAACGAAAATCAGACATTTTCGTTTTTTTGCGATATCTTTGAAACTATTGAAGATATTTCAAATTTCTTTTCAGATATTTTTCAGCACGGAAATTTGCAACTTTGCCCCAATTTAACCAACTTTCTATCTCTAAAGATAAGGGTGATCCCCATAGTGGCACTTGAAAAATCGACACCGTGTATAGTAATATATATAGATATGTAATAATATACAGGGGAGTTCTTTTTAAAAAATGCAACTTTGATATAAATCACCCTGTATAACAATTGCAATTTCATTGAAAATATTTTTAGGTTGTCGCCTTGAGGGTCCGTCAACATGCCCCAACAATCAGTTTGAAATATGCGCATTAATAAACCCACAATTTTCCACCTAACACACTAATATAATACCTTGCCAAAAAGATCACAAAATACAGTTTTTATACAGGGTGTTTGTTTTTTTTTAACTACACACTTTTTTCATATGGGCCACTATACAGGGTGATTCCTATAGTACCTGCCACCGTTTGGGAGCGTATAGGGGGTGCCTAGGGGAGTATTTTGATATAGGACACTTGGGGTCGGAAATCTAAAATAAGGGCGCCAGAACCAAATTTATCTTCTGGAATTTCACGCCTGTATGTAGGCAACCCAACCGACCGACGTTTCGCGCGGAGCGATGCAGAGCGAGTTAGCGCGAGGAAGCGACATGGGAGGGAAGGAGGGAAAACGACAGTCAAAAGCAATAACGTTTACAAGTGTTCAACGTGGCCACCGTTGTTCTCAATGCACTTCCTACATCTAGCCAACTATTATTATACTATTGCCATAGTGTTTATTCACTTGATACGCGTCGTTGCAGACGGGATTTCGTGGGTTTAAACAAAATTCTGATCAAGTGTCAGCCACACATCGCCGCCTGAGATCGCTCCGTGTGCACCGCCGGCCGGTTGGGTTGCCTACCTACAGGCGCGAAATTCCAGAAGGTAAATTTGGCTCTGGCACCCTTATTTTAGATTTCCGACCCCAAGTGTCCTATATCAAAATACTCCCCTACGCACCACCTACACGCTCCCAAACGGTGGCAGGTACTATAGGAATCACCCTGTATATATTGGACTTTTTGAAAAGAGTAAAATTTCCTAAATGTTGATGCTTATTATATTTACATTAAATGTTATTTCTAATATTGCATTTTATACATTAAAATAAGTTTTCCATGGCGAACAAAAGATGGCAGCATTGTCTAAAATGACAATTTCTTGGATATCTACATTATCTATTCTTTGTTTTTTGTGTGTTATTTGAAGTCAAAAATATTTGGGCCGAATATTCCAAATAACCAAGACATTGTCATTTTAGACAATGCTGCCATCTTTTGTTCGCCATGGAAACCTAGATGTCTACAATAAAAACATTGTGCAATATTGCAAATAATATTTAATATAACTATAATAAGTAATACATCAAAATTTAGAAAATTTTAGGTTCTTTTCATACACTCCAAAATATATAGGATGGTCCATACGAAAAATATATAGTTTAGGGTCGTATAAGAAAAACCGTTTGTTTGGTTTTTCTTATACGACCTTAAACTATATTTTTTCGTATGGACCATCCTATATATATTTTGGAGTTCCAAAAATCTTTTTAAATGATATATTGTTTTGGGTGTTTCACTTGTGACCCTTCATATTTTCAAGGGAACTGTCTAATTAGAATTGCAAAATTGTATAATTGGAAGAGTGAATCATCTTGCATTTGTTTACAGGAGGCCGAAAACAAATCGTGCCAAGCCGATTGTAAAGAGTCGTCTAGCAGCATAAGTCTCCCGGATATCCTCAGCGAACTGGACGTGATAAACGTACTAAACACCCAAAGAGCATCTCTGGAGGAAACTTCCGAAAAATCGTCGTCCAACAAAAGTACAGGCACGATTAGCATACCGAGCAACAGTTCGTCGAACGATATCGACATCGAAACGACACTGAAAAGTTTGGGTATGGGCTGGGCGGTGACGACCCTTAAAAAAACCCAACAAGCCCTCGCTCTGACCTCTTCGAGTTCCAGCTCGATAGATCTAAGTCAAAGCAAGCTTAACGGATCCGGTAGTATTTTATCGGCGTTTTTACACGGGCTGGCCTTCGATGTGACTCCCAACCCAAATTCTACATCGAGTGGTAATAAAACATCACGAAAGACGTCTACTCCCTTACAGAAAGATGACACTTTGAAAACAAATACGCAACCGAATATTTTATTGACGGCCGAATCGGATATTTCGTCCATACAACACAGCGCTAACGACCAGACTGCCAATTTGATACAATTTTATAGCTTAAACGAAGGATCTTTAGATCAAAGTAAAGACATTAATTGATATTGCTCAATTCTGTGATAGTTTCCTCCTTTGTGTATACGAAATGTAAATGATTATTATTGATACTTTAAGAATAAATTTATGATTTTATTGATTATTAAAGATGCATATTATAACCATGACGGCATTGGCCAGATCATTTCTCTTGTGGATTGAAAAAGAAATCTTCATTCATTATTAATAAGAAAAAGTGTTTTCCCGAGAAATTTTGGTGCAGTCGATTTTTGGTAAAAAAGGAAGGTTATACACTGCGTTTTTTTTGTCTGGAAAAAAAAATTGTCTCAGATCGACCGGAAAAAAATATTTTCTTATAGGATGTGGCCTGTAGAATCCATAATTTCAAAAAGTTCCAAGATTGGGCTACTAGTTCAAAAGTTACAGCCCTTTGAATTTTCTTTCGAAATTGGTTTCTAGTCTATAACTTTTGATTGAGAAGTCTGAATAAATGGCAGTTCAAAATGTACGGAGTCTTGCAAGATCTGTAGAGCAATTGTAGTTTAAAGGCCCGATTTTTGAATAGATAAATTAAATACAATAATTACTAGTGCGCCATCTCCATGTCAATCGAGACACTTTCTAACAATTATAGTTTTAGAAGTCTAGTTGAGATGTCGCCACGTACGCACCTTCTTTTAAAATTGTATTTGAATTTATGCGATTAATAGCAACGTTGCACTTATTATTCCTTAAATGCAGTGCCGTTTTTAAGTTTTTCGGGGCCCTGGGCCATTCGTTCGTGGAGGCCCTCCTTACCCTCAATAAAAACGGCAGATTCGGGAGATTCAAGCAAATCCCCAATTTGCATATGGGCACTGGATATTTGTGTAGCCTGGTTTGTAGGCAACACATCATGCTCAATGAACCGAAAACATTTATTTTTGCAATTCGTAACTTCTTATGCATAGGAGTTTATTTAAAGCCCTTGGAAGAACAATTTCAATAACAGGTACATTAAACTGAACCGTTTTACAACAATTTTCACACGAAGATCGCACAAACAACACATTTTTTCGTGAATGCAAACTGCGTAACACTTTTGCCTTATTTCGCTGCCAATTTCACTACCGTTTCTATAACCGTAGTTCTATCAAATAAACTCTAGGCTCAATTCTTTAAGAAATAGCTTCGCACCATCGCCAGCTGCTGCAATCATGTAATCGTTCCGATTTTAACCTTGAGAAGTTTGAATTGCATTAGAATGGGTTTTCTGCGAGTTCTCCATGGTGTCCTCCTGTTTTGGTTACAAAGAATTTCCCTTTTCAATTTGAGTTGTCTGAATTCAATGCTAACGTTTCTCATCCATCGAGAACTACATGTCTTCGATTGCACAACCCAGAGCGAACAGTATCATATTCCGCAAATGTTGAGTCTGCAGCTTTCCTGTCACTCCCAGTAGACAGTTCCCTAATTTAAACCTGTAAGCGAGAAAGAAATGATAACAAAGTTTAATTTTTGACTATAAAATAAACATTCATTATGCATTTGAGGTTAAACTTCATATATCTATGGTTTTTAAAAACAGCGCTCCGACATCTAACGTTAGTTTCATAAAGAACATTTGTAAAATAGTGTGGCGACATCTTTAAAGTGTAAGTTCCAACTAAAATAATGGTGGTAATAAAGTGTCCTGCATTTTGCGATAAAATGTTAGTCCCCAATAATAAAGACAGATGTCAGCACACTGTATTCTGCTTTGATTATTTTAATCTTAACCAAAAACTCAGGCAAGGCTATAAACATTTTGGGATTTGTGCCTTTCGCTGTCAAAGGAGTAAACCACGAAACTCGAAAATTAAACATTTCGCTCCAGTATTATAGCCTATTCCTTTGCGTCATAGCGTTTTTGGAATGCCAAAGGACAGGGCGGGTAACCGGACGACCGTCCGTATACATCTTTGGTATACCTATACCTAGATTTTTGACGATTTTATCTGTTCGCAATACAAATCGCCATAAGAGTACGCCGCAATAAATAAGAATTTTAAATCGGTGATTATTTTAAAGACTTGAGAGTTAAGTTTCATGTGAGTTAGGTTAGATACAAGATTTGTAAAAATTTAAAACGCCCAAACTAATCTGACCTAACCTAACTACGACTCTAACCTAACCTTCAATCAACTCCTTGAACGTTATCATGATAACAGATTTCTGAGCTAACCTAACTAGCACGCTAACCTAACCTCACTTAAATTTTATTTTAACCTTCGATCTCCTCGCACATTATATTCTCCTGATACCAGATTTCCGAGCTAACCTAACTAGCACGCTAACCTAACCTCACTTAAATTTTATTTTAACCTTCGATCTCCTCGCACATTATATTCTCCTGATACCAGATTTCAGAGCTAACCTAACTAGCACGCTAACCTAACCTCACTTAAATTTTATTTTAACCTTCGATCTCCTCGCACATTATATTCTCCTGATACCAGATTTCTGAGCTAACCTAACTAGCACGCTAACCTAACCTCACTTAAATTTTATTTTAACCTTCGATCTCCTCGCACATTATATTCTCCTGATACCAGATTTCTGAGCTAACCTAACTAGCACGCTAACCTAACCTCACTAAAATTTTTTTTAACCTTCGATCTCCTCGCACATTATATTCTCCTGATACTAGATTTCTGAGCTAACCATGGGCTGCATTTACTCTCAAGATTCACTCGGAACAGAATATGCGTTTATTTTGTTTGTACAGTTTTCAATATAAACATTATTTACAGAAGTTGTACTTTATTTTCCCCCCAATAACAAAACTGATAGGAAGATTACAGGACAATAAGCACCTGGTCCTTCGCACTTTGCCGAAAACATTTACAAACTTGGTAGGTATCAAGAAGATATAACGTGAAAGGAGGTCTTTCAGTCCCAATAACAGCTCTTCTTTGTAGACAAACCTATGTAAAAGGTGTCTTGCTACTAGGAGAACAGAATTCACGATGAGGTCTTTTTCTATCACTATGAGAGTTATTTCAAAGCTTAATTCCGATTTAAAAATTTGCCATTCTGTATCGGGATCATATGATGTGCGAGGAGGTGTTTCTTTTCCTATTACTACACCTGTTACTTGTCGACAAACTTATCTAACGGTTACAAAAGTTACAGTTCTTTGATTTTCTTTCGAAATTGGTTTCTGTTGTAAAGCGTAAACTTTATTTTAGTTCAATAGCATTATTTTAACCAGCTTTTTTTTATGGACCCCTCTTCCGACCTTCCGTTGAGGCGCAAATGTTCCTTGAAGTTTTGACCGTTTCCTTTATAGACCGCCTCGCCGCCTCACACCTTTCCTTTGATGGACCCCCCTTCCGACTTTCCGTTGAGGCGCAAATGTTCCTTGAAGTTTTGACCGTTTCCTTTGATAGACCGCCTCGCCGCCTCACACCTTTCCTTTGATGGACCCCTCTTCCGACCTTCCGTTGAGGCGCACATGTTCCTTGAAGTTTTGACCGTTTCCTTTGATAGACCGCCTCGCCGCCTCACACCTTTCCTTTGATGGACCCCTCTTCCGACCTTCCGTTAAGGCGCAAATGTTCCTTGAAGTTTTGACCGTTCCCTTTGATAGACCGCCTCG